GTGTCATCATTAATGAGTGTGGAGTGTGTTTCAGCTGGAGAATTGCTGTGCTGCAATAAGGTTCCCTCTCTGCTCCTCCCGGTGCCATATGCTGCCGTAATTAGTGCAGGCAAAAGGTAACGAGAGCGCAGTGGAGAAGAGGGAGCTCGATGGGAAGCAGGTTGATCTCTAAAGCTCTACGTTATGTCATCCCTACATAAAGCACAATGCAGTTTTAACACGGATTTTTTAGTGTTGCACTTATATTTTGGGAAGTTTTCTTGCCTTGGAGAGCCACCATTACTTACCCAGTGTGTATATTTATGCTGTAACTGCTGCACTGTTCTCTCCCAGATACCTGTGAAGCTTTTTTCAGAGGTAGTAATTCTTGGTTTTTTTAGCTGCACTTGATATAATGAGATAAAATTCATATTGGCTTGATTTAAAGATTACAGAATGTCTGTATTTAGAGATTTCTTCATTCAGAGACAAAAGGGTGTTCTCATGCTGAGATCACAGGCACAGACATACAAATTTACCTTCTCCACTATCATTTTACCTGAATAACTCATGAAGAGCTCATAAAAAAATTTCATGTGCTGCCATTATATGTTCCAGTGCCAGAAGGAGCAAGGATTCATAATGTGGATGATGTGAAGGTTTTTCATTCCAAATACAAACATGGAGCTATACTTAGGTGAAATATTGGCTCTGGTCAACTGGTAGTTTAAATTTATGTCAATGGGACCAGGATCCCTGAAAGGAGCAAGTGTGAATTGGATATCTAGTGTATGGAAAAGCTTTGTTATATTTCTGATACTGACTCTTGCCAGATTGAAATGCTATGAAAATGGTTGCTATCAAAGTCTTATCATAGAATCATAGGATGGTTTGGGGTGGAAGAGATTTTAAAAAATCACCTCGTTCCAACTGCCTGCCATGGTATGTTGACACTCTCAGCTTTGCCCAAGACCACAAAGTAAACACACACATATAAATGTGTGTATCACAGAGAACAGGAAATTTTTACTCATCTTGGTTCAACTCTATTTTAAACATAGTTTAAAAAGAATTCAGGAGATAGGCAATTTAGACATGAAAATTTAGATAGAAAATGCCAGTAAATATCTTGCTGCATCTTTAGAAAGCCATTCAAATATTCTTTTCTATTCTGTCTCTCTTGGTACTTTTGATGTCCCTCATTGCTATGTGTTCTAGGCCTTTTGCAATGATTTACAGATTTTATCCTTTTAACAGCTTTTCAAGGCAGAAATACATCCTCACTGTTTTAAAGATGAGGTGAGGATGTAGTATGGATTAAAGACTTCCCTAATTCCATTCTGACAGAGCTGGGGCTCAAAAGTCCAACGTCTGAGTCCCAGCTGAGCCAGACCAGCCATGCTCACTGGTCCACCACAGTGTCACCTTACTGCCTACAGTCTGCCGTGGTGACAAAGCCTAACTAGAGAATCAGACAGATATTTCATGGGGCCAATGCCACTGCAGGACTTCTCCTCTGTTGTGGGTTGTGATGGAACAGTCCCTGCAGGCCATGGCTCCAGCGCTCTCCAGATGCACCAGGATGAACCCCCCAATGCTGACAAAGCCTGACAGGCTCGCTGCCCTTACCTCTGGTCAGTGCTGCACACCAGACTGGCTCAGATGTGTCATTCAACACAGATTTGGCACTGCTTCGTTTTACCTTCCTTCTCATTCTGTCAAAGCATAAGAGCCAAGACCCCTTGACTCAACACGGGGAAAGTCTGGCAATTCCCAAGCTCTGGAAGGCCTTGCCAAGAGCAGCATCTGACTGTGCCTGGCTGCTGGCCTGGGACACCCTGAGCTATTGCACTCTTGGCTGGGAAATCCTTTTTGTGGCTGCTGCAGGGCTGTGGCTCTGGTTTGGTTTCTGTGTCCATGTCTGTTGTGTGTAATGATCTTTTTGCTAATCAAGCCCTGCACGTCTGTGAGCAGCCCCAGGAGCTGTTCTCTGAATTATCTTCCTCTGTTACAGGAGGGGGGAGAGGCTATTTATAAATTTTAAATTATTTCCATGTATTTGTTGCTTCATTTTAGTCCTGCACCAAACAGACCAAGTGCATAGTTTGGTTTATGTTCTCTTGTTTTGCATCTACAACCTCTCTGCATCTCTTTGTGGGTCTTTGTTTAAGGTGTATATTTAAACATTGCCGGAGATGAGTTCCAGTCTGAGGGAATTGTGCTGTTTTCTTTACAATATCTGGCTTAAACATATTGCAAGGACAATAACCCAGTGCAAGGAGGTCACAGTCAAAATATGTCACACCCTCTTGCCCCTACCCTGTTGTCATACAAGCCCCTGGGAACAGTAAGCTGTTGGCATGGTTTAAAATTTAAAAAAAACTAAAACAAACCACAATGAGATAAAGTCCACAAACAGCACTAAATTTCACTATTGCAATGTAGAATAAGACAAAAATAAACAGTAATTGGCACACCAGAGAACATAGTTTGCACACATCCCTACGGATGTATCAGAGTGCTTAGGATTGAGACAACCGAGCAGGTACACGCAGGCAGGTAAGTTCATGTTTAACCACCAAAAAAAATGGTCTGATTTTCAAAAGTGCTGTGCAATCAGCAGATCCCACTAAAGTCAAAAGTGGGAAGTGAATCTTTGTATTCTATACTTCTATTTTTACAGTGTTTTTCTGTAATGGGTCTATTCTAAACCTTTCGCTGGCAGAGCCCTCAAAAAATGGAACAAAGAACAATCATCTTAACTGTACTGCAATATGCTCCTACAATAAGTAAAAAATGTGGTGGGAAAGACAAAGTACTACTTTTACGATATCCTGTGCCAAATCACAGGTTATACAATTCAGTTTTTTATTTGCACAGCCAACAGTGCTTTGTAGAGCAATCAGGGAAGATAATACAATCCATTTTACATTCTCATTACTTTGGAAGTGTTGAATCTTCTGAAATTGTTTCAGGGTTAATTGAGAATTTGCTGGTTTACAATAGACTAGGAATTGTTTAGGCTGCCCTTGTTTCATATTTTTGTGCATACCTTTGTTGCAACGTTATAAAAACAACTATAAAAGAAGAAACAAAGAAGCGAAATGAAATAATGATCTGCATTGTTGCTATTCCAGGCACTCATTTTTACTGCAGATAAAGCTGGGGTATTGATTAATGTTTAAATGGCTATTAAGTGGAAGGACATGTTGGGTTGATGGAATATCTCACTATGCACTAGCGTTTTCCTTTGCTTCTTTTCCACATATTCCCTAAGGAATCATTTCCGCTCCTGGGGAAAGCAGTGGTGAAACTCTGAGTGACTTTTGTGGGAGCATAAGTCAACAGTTTTTCCTATTTGTCTCTTTTTCTCATAAATTCCAAAAGGCCCTGGCTTCCAATTTTGTCCTTTAACTTATTTTAACATAAAAACAGCTCATAAAAATGTGGAATTTTTTCATGGCTGTGTATATTGAAGCTTTGATCCTGGCTCTGGCTGCCCCTGTTTACCACGGCAAAGTCAGGCACGGTCAGCAGCCCTGGGGAAGTTGTATTTTTGAAGCCTGAAGCAAAGCCTTGGTAAAGAACAGCAGAGCTGTGGGCAGGGCTGCCTGTCAGCACTTCCTTACCTGTGATAGTGGACATCCCAACACTTTGCTCCAGGGATCTAGCAACTTATTTTTCCACTGTCCAGAGGGCACAGCACCAAAGCAAACCTCTGAAACACACATTCAGTGAGACCACGTCTGTCTTTGTTGGCTTGCAATTTATTCTTTCCTCTTCTGGCAGCTGCCATTTTATTTCATTTTACTTACTTTTTTTTTCCTTTTACCCCCTAAAAATCTGTTATTTTTGTTTATTCCCTCATGGTTGCACTGATACATCTTTTTTTTGGCAGGATTATCACACAGGACACCTTTCAGGTGAATGCCACCATGAGGCACTGCCTGGGCACAGACTCATTAGATAATAGCAGGTTCCATGTCAATTACTGGTAATTTAAAATGTCTATAGAAGGTTGTATGGCTGTTTATGACCTATAACAATTCACTACAAAAAGATAAACAGGTTATTATGCTAAGTATTGATTATATGATTGGAGTTTTGGTTTAAAATATTAACACATTTAATTGAAGAGGGAATTGGTACCAGTTAATTCAGCTCTGTGTTGTTATATTACTTACTATATTTAACTGAGTATAGAATTAAGCCCTAATCATGAACATTCTTGCACTTATTGCTTCAGTCAAGTAGGGAAGTTCTTAGTGTGTAAACTCCACAATGTCCCGAAACATTTCCAGTTTCAGGGTCTGAACATTTGTGCTGATTAATGGAAAAAAGCACAACAGGGAATTTCTTACTGGGGGATCTTGGAGACAGCATTTCTAAATCCTGATTTAGGTCACATTCATGTGATTGAATTTAATCATCAGAAGGAAACTACAGATCCAAGACTGCAGAACAAATGTGTGCAAACAGGGTCTGGGTGTAACCACCTCCTGTTAGACCTGATGAATTCATTGTCCAATTCTCTTTTTGCTACCACACCCTACAATTTAGTACATGTCTAACTAGTTGTAAGAAAAAAAATGAAAAACGCTCAAAAAAGTAAACTAAAAATACAATTTCTAGTCGAATCAGAATTTTGAGTTGGAGAAAGGATGACTGTGATGGGATTCATGAAGTCTGTAGATACCAGTGTTCATGCAGAGGCCCAAGTGTTCAGGTACTCTGGCTGTATAGCACTGGTCCAATATAATGTTTTAAATATTGATTTCTGTACTACTCTTTGGGACAAATATATTTCCAAAGGAATTGTCTACAGCTTCTCCTTCTGTCAGCTAAGTTTAGCAATAAAGAACTATCCCTAAGGGAAAGCACAAGGTTTAGATTCTATTTCTGAATTATTAAGAGATCCACCCACGAAAGCCAGTGAGTGCAAAGACATATTCCCTTGCAGCAATGTAATTGTTTTATGTTTAGATCTATAATTTGTTAACAGCTGGTGTACTTTGATTTAGGTATTCAGTTTACAAGGACCCAGCAGGCTGGCTGGAAATCAACCCTACCAATGGCACCATCGGCACCACGGCTGTCCTGGATCGGGAGTCTCCCTACGTGCAGGACAATGTGTACACTGCCCTCTTCCTGGCAATAGACAGTGGTGAGTAACTAGCATGCATAAGATTATGAATATATTGTTATCAATAATAATTTTCCCCCCTGCTTGAAACTTTCTGATCTGGAAGGTGCACATGTGAACTTAAGCGTTTGCTTCAGCAGCTTTAATTTAAGTTTACACCTCACAGGTTTATTACTGCACTGAGATCATAATTCTAGGTATAAATAGTCTGGGAACATTCTAGGAAGGTAATAAGTCATCTTTATCAGAGTTAATTTCTTCACAATATTTGAACAGTCAATAAGCCTGAGGCTCCTAAATACCAATAACAGCTCATCCCTGATATGCTGGATTCTATTCTACTCAATACACTGATAGTGACAACAAAAACATAAGTAAAACCCCTTGTTAAAATGCAACAATTTTTGCATATTGTGTGTATTAAAGTTCCTTCTGTCAAATAGAATCAAAATTAAGCTGTCTAGGAAAAATTCAGCAAGCAACTTTGGAGTAGAAAGAGAAAACCTTGAACATTCCAAATCTCCAGACCTAAAGGCACAAAATAAATAAAAGATTTGCCTGTAATATAACAGCTAATATGCTAAGGCTTTTTCACAGCTACAGCTGGTTTAGCCCTGGTGATGAATTGTCAAATGTTCTTTTTAGGAGAGCAATTCTACATTTTTGTAACCACATGACTCAGGGAACACTTGCAGGGCCTGACAGGAGAAAGAAAATATTGCCTTAAGTATAACAGAAAAAAAAAATCTGCTGAGATGATGATTTACTTATATATTAATATACATATTTTCCTTAGGAAATTTCCATGGAAAAATGTAGCACTGAACATATTTCTGTCATTTGTTTGCTATTGGATAGGAATTTTTTTTTTTAAATGCATCTTAAAAATCTGGGAAATGTCATCTCACAATGAAAGTAAAAATCTGGGATAATGTTACTGAGGGGTTGCCAAAAGGACAAAGTCATGTTTTAAAGGTGGAGTGAGATATCATCAAAGAGAGTAGATGGAACAAGAGGCTGAATGTTTTTGTCTGTGGAAACCAGCCTGAATGAGGAGGATTTGGGGGAAGACCTTTCTGCTGTGCTTAGGGCAGTAACACGTGTTGCTCATCTGTTCTGAGCCCAGAACCTCACTGATAGGTGACCCCTCTTAATTCTCAGAATTTTTTCCGTTCTGGAAAAATGGGAGAAAGAGAAAGAGGTGTCTGTGAGCTGAGCAGCAGAGCAAGAGAGAAAAGGAATCCTCTTCACTTGAGGCATTGAGTCAACACTCTATTCCAGCAGCTGTAACTGTATTTATTTGTGATTGCACAGCTCCGTTAGTGCAGTTCATCCACTCCAACATTATTGACTTCCTTGAATGAAGTAATTAGAAACCATGTGTGTGCATTTAGTACTGTCATGCCAAGGTGTTAATAATGATCATTCCCAAGCATTGCACTCCTTCACTGTGTGTAGCCCAGCCACACGTGGAAGTGGGAATAAACAGCACAATTTAAATAGCTGATATTCACCTTGTGGTTTGCATCACCTCTGGATTAATCACCAAACATTAAGCTCAGAGGCAGGCTCACTGCCTTGTCCCCTGCAGGTACAGCTGGGACAGACAATATCCCTAGAGAGTGTTCCCCCCAGCTTATTTCCAGGCAAAGCTATGAAACCCATTTCATTTCCTTACCCATCAGAGCTAATGTCCATCTTGAAAAGAAATATTACCTTAGATGAGAAGCCAAATTGTGTAGAACGATATGAAATGAATACAGAACTCTTCCAGAACTTTAAAAGAAGATTATGTTGACTTAAAAAGGAAAAAAAATGAGATGGCTGCATGTGCTCTCTTTAAAGCATTGTCCACAGAGTGCAAATCCCTTTCTTCAGGTTAATAAGTGGAGCCTGTCTAATGCCAGTGAATATGGTGAGGACTTTGGACTGAGAGGGCAGCCAAAGGCAGGATTAAGAATTGCCAAATGAAAGAGAGTAATAAAGGGAAAATTTAGAGGCATTTCCAAGAGAGCAAGTCATTTGCTCAGACTAAAAGACTTGGGGTGAAAAGGGAGGAGAGGACAAAAACACCTAGTTAAGAAGACATGCTTTCTTCAGAAGCATTCAATGGAGGTTACTCTTTCCTTTGGCCTCTCATCTTATCTAAGTCAAATCTGAAGCCTGAGATGCCACAGGCTTTCCTTTTCTTCCCTGGGGAATACAGAGAGCTCAGGTGATGCCCATGGCACAGTGCAGCAGTGGGAATTTGTACCCAGGCAGCTCCAAGCAGAGCAGACACTGTGAGTGTGTGCTGATCTGTAACAGTATTTATAGGGAATAAATCTAAAATCAAATAAAGCCTCGAACCTTAGACATTGCTAAGTGACCTTCAACATATGCTAAACCAGTAAATAAACATATCATTATTATTTTGGGTTCATAGTATATAGAGTTTATACACAAACATATATATACACGCATATACATATATATAGAGAGAGAGTTATACAAATGATACTGTTGTGCCATCCTATTCCACGATCACCTCTTTTTAAAATGACCTTCCATTCATGTGCTATCTTGGGTGAGGAGTGGAAACAGCTGAAAACAAACCTCCCAATGACACTTTATTCATCCCCTTTTGCTGATGTCAGTAGAGGATCTGTCATCAGTCCCAGCAGCACTGGCTCCTTGTTATTGCACTTTAGTGCAGGGAACAAATGTCAGGACATCTTTTTTATTTGTAAAATGTTAGAGACTTCTGTCAGAGGTAAAACCAGGAGCTTCATGCTTGGTAGTTCTCTATATAAATCCATCACATCTTTCTCTCTTTTTGGTAAATCACAAAACTGTTCTTTACCAGTAGCACAGTAACCATGAGTGGGTCACAGAAAATGGAGTCGTTCAACTGGAGGAAATAATTTAGTTCTTTATGAGATTCTTTTTGACCTTTATGATATTATTTCTCAGCATTATCAAATTAACTGCAGGTAAAGGTAGTTAAGTATGAATTATATTATTTCTCATCTAAATAGTTCCTGCACCTTCACAAACACACTTGAAACAATGTGTAAGACCAAATTTGATGGAAATAGTGTTAATTTTATAGATAATAAATTTTGACCATTTATGGGAGTGAATTGCACTTTTAAAAAGGACTTCTACAATGAGTATCCTAATTTTCTCTGTACATTTGATTTCAGTAAAAGGTCAAGGTAGTGTCTTTAGAATTTAAAAACTTTTTATTAAAGACCTGTGTGGACACAGAGTCTCTGGTCAATTAAAGAAGAAATTAAACACTGGTAGGAAATATCATGAAGCAGAGTTAACACATTAAAGTGTCATGAACTGTGTTTAATCTGAGAATGAGCTGATAATGGGACAAAGTCAGGTTTATGCAAACTTGGGAAACAGCAGAGGTTTCATTCAATTAGCAAAAGTGATCATTTTATTCCCTGAATTTAGCACTAATCGCTGACCCCAATGCAATGTCACAAGCACATGGGGCAATTATTGGGAGTATATCTGTAAAACACATCTATGTGAAATACAGACAAGAAAGCATTTGAATTGGAGAAATCTGCATGAGCAAACCTTCCAGATTTGCTGCATGACCATGTGGTGGTGTCATCCTACACATCCTGTTGTACATTGGAGCACTTTGGATGACTATCATAAAGCAGAATATCTGCAGGTTTTCCTCATAAGGTCAGTCATGATAAAAAGCCTACAGGAAAGGTCTTTATCCCTCTGTATTCTGAGAGTTTGAGTCACAATTTAGAAGGAAGGAAGGAATAAAACGTGTCTGGAGGTGAAGCTAAAAAATACCTGGGAAATATATGAAACCTTAAAAAGCTAAAATCAGTTTCTCCCTTTTCTTTAAGAGGCATGAATAACAAAACATCCCCAGATTCAGCTTATTTATGCAATAATCATTCCTTTTGTGGAAGGGCAGGATGCCCCAGTTAATATCCCCATTGTGTAGCTTTTTCTGTCTCTTTAGAAGAAAATCTTTGGTTACCTTTCTTTGCCTGGTACACAGAAAAAACACCTGTGCTGTTCAAGTCTTTCATCTGGTGACAAGTGATGACACACTAATCTTGCTGGTTGGCTTAAATGCAGTTATCAGCTTCACTTTTCTCATGCCACCCTGGTGGGCTACCACCCCTCCAAAGCCAGGGAGAAATATTCTCCCACAGAGACAGATCCTCTCATCCAGAGTGAGGGTGGCACCTTCTTTCCTGATGTTCTCATCATCAGGGAGCTCCTGAGACAAAAATTGGGAATATAAGCACTTCTGCTATATGAAACATAGAGAATAAATGTCGTTAAAAATGGGCCAGCTCTTCCAGATGCTAAAGATGGTCAGGGATGGAGTTAAGGGGTTGAATTTTCAGGTGATGTAGCTTCAAACCCACGAAATCCCAGTGAGCCCTGTTTCTCACAGCAGTACTGTGTGGGGGAAAACAACTGTTCTCTTCTCTGGAAGTGGGTTTTTCCCTACATGATGTCGCCATCCCCGGCATGTGACATCACAGTCAGGGCAGGATGTCCCACAGGAGGGCTGAGCTGGAGGAAACAGCCCTGTTTGTGTGTGTGTTTGAGCAAGGGAAAGGTTAAGAGAGCTGGAGGACTAGAAAGAGATGTGATTCCATAGGTGTGGTTTCAGTGTTTGCCTTGAGAGCTTCACTTGCCAGTTAATAATAAAAAGCAGCTCAGATGTTGCTTCTATGACTGGCAGTTGCACGTGTGTGAATTGGCAGGATGAGGAGCATTATTTCAGTTTTCCTGAGCAAAATAAAGAAGTACTGAATCAGGGTCTAGTGTTCATATTTTCCCTTGTTTCCAAAGCTGAACTACACCCAACCAATCTCATTGATTGTGCAAATCTTGATGCTACTACTCATTAAAAAGGAAAAAAAAATTATCATTCTGTTCTCTGCCTGATGAACAGTAACACACAACATCTAGAAAAACATGAAATAACAAAGAGATGTGTAGCAATTTGCAATTAAAACTTTTCCTTACATGTATCTAACCTGTCTTCTCGCTTCATGATGTACATAATTAAATTACTATAGATGGATTCCACCTAAAACATGCTATTTTTGAAGAAATCAGGCAATTAGTTACCATGGCAACCCAATTAAGCCAGTTTTAGACCCCTTATCTTAATTGCTGTATTAATTGAGAAGAGAAAATAAATTGAAGACTCATCCTTTTCTTGCCATTTGAAATTTCAGTAAAATATGAATTGCACACAAAATATTGTTTTAATTTGTCATCACGGACTCATGATTAGAAAAAGAAATTAGAATGTTGAAAACAGTATTTAAGACGGATGGCATATGTCAGTAGCAATTTGATATGCTGAAAGAGCTGTGCTCTTTGGAAATGTAATTACTCAAAAATAGGATCTGCATATATTATCTGAGGGAATGAATGAAGGATTGTAACTTTTAAAGGCTATTTATTTTATGCATTCTGTAAAAAAATATCTATATGCCAATACATAGAGAAAATGCAGAGGAAATTTCAGCTCCTGGGAAATTGGGGATGAAAATGTCAACATATGGCATTGATGAGAGCAGTTTTCTGAGCAGCAAACCCAAATCTTGGTGTCTTCCCACTCTACTGGTTCCATTTGCTTTGGCTGAACCATTAATAGAGTTCAGCTTGAACACGAAAAGTAATGGAATCTGCCTGTCTGAGTGGGATTGCTGCCTGTAGAGAGGGGACCTGCTGCCAAATCACCGAGCATGCACACATTTTCTGAGTAGAAAAACAGCATATGGAGGGGGAAAAAAAAACCAACATGAGGGACGAGACAGAAATTTGTGTTTAGGTTTTCATTAGAAAGCATGAAGCCCTTTTTCTCACAGTCCAGGTTTGAGGTATGTAAGTCATAGAGAAGCAGCTGAGGGAGATGGGAGGGCTCAGCCTGGAGAAAAGGAGGCTCAGGGGGGACCTTATTTGCCTTTACAACTCCCCGATGGGATGTTTTAGCCAGGTGGGAGTTTGGCTTTTCTCCCAGGCAAGTAGTGACAGGACAAGAAGATGTGGCCTCAAGCTGTGCCAGAGGATGTTCAGGTTGGACATCAGGAGGAATTTCTTCATGGAAAGGGTGGTCAGACATTGGAAGGAGCTGCCCAGGGAGGTGGTGGAGTCCCCACCCCTGGAGGTGTCCAAGGAACATTCTCTAGAATGGTTGACTTGTCCCCTTTGGAAATTTGGTAACTATTGCCAGAATCCAACATTTCTGATGTTCTCAAACATAAATCAAACTACAAAGTATAATAGTTCAAATTAAATGCCTTTATTTCATATTTGTTCCTAATTACATTTTGTTAGTAAAGGCATTTACATGAATATTCCTTTGCTTTGATGCCTGTGATGGAAACCTTTAGATCTGTAAATAGACAAGGTTTTCTGTGTTTAACTTTCAATACTATTAGGTGAACCTCCTAAATAGAAGTGAAAACACACAGGCTCAGTGCCTCCCAGCTTTAACACTTTTTGACTTGTGTGTCTGACATTTTTCTTGGTAGGTGATTATCAGTGCTTTGTTCCTTAGCTGTGCCACTAAATAATTTATGTTATTTACATGTGAACTGACTTTCATCTGATTCATTTAAAGTCCATTTTCACACAGCATGTGGAAATGTACTTTTTTTGTGGTTGATAATCCTTATTGTCCCTTGGGCAAGTTGTTCCATTTTAGATCAAGTCAAGTTTGGTAGCAAAAGTTGAAAAAAAAAAAATCAAACTAGAAAGGAAAATGCTTCTTGAGGATTTCCTGTTGTTTTTCACAAATTAAATGAAATTTTGTTTACTGGGATGAATGTTCTTATTATACTCAATTTTTTTTAGTTTATAATATCCATTAAATATTGAAATGAAAATATTTTAAAGACCCACTTTTAAAAGAAAAAATATGAAAAACCACACCTGGTTAATTCCAAAGAGGGCTTATAATTTAAGACTTTACAGTAATAATTCAAATAGGATTCTGCAGAGCTTTTCATTAAAATTCAAGAATGAAGAAGTATGCAAAGTATCTGATTCTATAATATTTCTTTTGAAAGTATTTTTTTTCACTAAATGTAGCTACAAGTGACCTTCAGTGAGACTGAAATGCAAGTGAGATCTTCCAAGTTAGGGTTCCCAGCCTTGCCTCAGATTATTAAAATCAGGATTCAATACCAGGCTTTCACTTTGTTTCAGGATGAAATTATTCATCCTTCAGCCTCTGTTTCAGCAGCTTTTACACCCATCAGTAATGCTGTTCCATTCCTCTGTTTGCCATAGTATATTCCCAGATATGCCACTTGTGGGAGCCTTAGCAGGAGTTTGGGATCCTCTCTATCCCAAATGGCTCTAAAGACACCTAAAGGTTTAAAGTGTCTGGCCTCAGGAGGGAAGGAGAATTCTGTTCAGTGACAGAAGTGGGAGCAGAGCTCTTTGGAAAAGCTGCTCCCAAGGGTTGTTGGACAGAGCCCTTTATGTCTGGGTTTACACACTAATTCTGCTTTCAGCTGCAAGGTTTTAAAATACAAATTAAAAGAAGTTTTACTTTGGAATTAAAATATGCTGTGGATATCTTTCATTTCAAAACCAAAGCTGTCTGGAGATCATGGGATTTTTGAATTATTTCTACAGCATAATACCGTCAAATTTGTGAAAGTCCTACATTCCCAATGGATATGTTGTGATCATTTTTCCTTGATTCACTTTTTGTTATATTTTTGTGACATGTGCGATAACAAGCTTCAGTTTATGACCTTGACTTTTGCTTATTTTTCTTTTGGAGGTCTTCATAAATCACCAAAAGATTTTGTTCAAATCATCATGAATAAACCAACCAAAGAATAAGTCATTCAAATGAACAAAAGCAATTTCCTTTCTCTCTGTTTGTGTGTAACACTTGCCTTGGCCCTTACAAAGAGTGAGACATTTCCATGGCAGGGAAAACGCAGCTGTATCTGCGCGTGACAAAATAACAGGACATCCATAATGCTGTTGGTTTCTTAATTTCAAAAGGCAGATTTTAATATTACTGACTTCAGAGAAAGATAAGAAGGGCAGTGCATAAGACATTATCAGTCCAGTGTGGAAATAATGCATTCAAAATTAAAGACAGCAGTTTAATTAAGTGCATGAAAGGCTGGCTTTTATGATCATATTTCAAATACTCGACTGTCTTTTCATCCATTCTGCCGTGTGACTTTACTTAATAATATATCAAGAACAAAAAATGCATTGGAGTCTTTCTGCAAATTCAATTAGTCCAATAAAAAGTGAAAAATAGTTTCTTTTTCATTAAAAAGAGCTCAGACCTAACCCTTCTGATGACAAAGTGCAGATGAGAAGGGAGGGCAAAGCTGGAGAACTATGAACATTCAGCCTTTGTGATGCATTTATGTGAGAATGAAACAGATGAAGTGTCACCATTAGTAACATTTGTTATTGAAAGGACTAATTGCATTCTGCTCAGTTAGCAGTTTATCAGATCCAGACCACAGGGTATTTACTTCTCCCTTAGGATGCACTCCCAGCACAGCAATAACTCCGCAGTTTATTGGGCTGCTCTGGGCAGGGTAATTATGCTAAAGTGAAACCTCTTCCAGGGCTCAACTAGAAACTGTGACACATCGCTCTGGTGCTTTACAGGTTAAGTGCAACCTCTTGAATCCATTCTACCTGTGAAGAGTTTGTAGCCAAGGGAAGTGCAGAGATCACAGTTCCTGGGTACCAAACCGGAAAAACGAGGATAACAAACGGTCCACGAGTGCAGCGTTTCAAATGAGACACCATGAAGTGCAGTGAAGGATGTAATGTGAATTTAGAAAACATTGAGGTGATTAAAATGGGGTGGCAAAGGGATCTGAAAGTAGCTGTTGAGCTTTAGGCTGAAAGCAGTGGGTTACTGGCCCAGCCACAGCACATCTGTAGTGACTGAAAGTCATTAGCTCCTGTCGGCTCCTCTGTGACCCTGGGAGATGAGGGGCTGCTCTCAGCCCGGCTCCCAAGGGCACACTCTGCCTCCCAAACCCTCCTGGTGCCACAGCTGGTTTGTCAGTCACAGCCTTGGCACTGAGCCTTGTAGTGGTACCACGGTGAGCAAACAGCACCCTCAGCCCTGGAGCTGGCAGGTAATTGGAGAAAGCTGGAAACTCTGCTGCTGACACAGGGTGGCTCTGGGTAAATAAACCATCCCTGGGTTGCTTGTTGACAGGTTTCACTTCTGCTGACATAACTAAATGTGACCCTAAGGGTTACTGGGGAATGATCTGCTCCTGTTCTGGGCACCCACCAACAACCTGATTCCTCTCTGCTGTCATTTTTCCTCTTACTTGTCTTATTCTTGGTTCCTCTAATACTGTGCTGTCTAGGGGATGTTTCCCTCTATGTTTCTCTCGGTAGGTGCTGATGAACAGATTCTGTTCCAGATATCTATTCATGTCCTATTCTCATTTTAACTTCAAAATATTCCTCTCCCAGAGGTTTCCATAGAATAATTTTCCATAATGTAGAGAATCAGACAGGCTGCATTCTGAAAATACAGCAGTGAATTTACAAGAGTGACTCATCAGGTTTTTTTAAACAGTCATTTTCATATAAAAGAGGTAAGGACTATAAAAATTATTTCCCTTTGCAAGCACGCAGGTGCAAATAAGAGCAAGAGTTTATGAAAGAAGTATGATTTAATAAATAAATGTTTGGTTTTTTAAATAGGTAACCCTCCTGCCACGGGGACAGGAACTTTACACATCACCTTGGAGGATGTCAATGACAACGTCCCGTCCCTTTATCCAACACTGGCAAAAGTTTGTGATGATGCAAAAGATCTCAGGGTAGTGGTACTTGGAGCATCAGACAAAGACCTTCATCCCAACACAGACCCTTTTAAATTTGAACTGAGCAAGCAGTCTGGCCCAGAAAAATTGTGGAGAATCAACAAGCTTAACAGTAAGTCTGTTACTTTTATTATTGTGCATTTAGTCCTCCCACTATTGTGCATTTAGTACATCCCAGTGTACTGAGGCACATCCCTCCTGAGGCACTTTGTGAATTCTGGAGCAGTTTTGTAGGAAAGTCTTGCAGGATGGACCCATTGCTGCTGCTTTACACTGTGCTGGGTTTGCTGGGACCAGCTGCCTGTGGAACATAATAATTCTGAGAACTGAAAGTTTTTCCTCTTCTTGATATGTTGACTGAAGTTGCCTCTTTTAGCTTTGCAGTAAAGAGAGGCTACTAATGACTTACAGTTTTGTAAAGATATTTCAGGGCATGGAATTTGCTTGCATGAGGTGCACAAGGCCTAGCTATAGGACAGCATGGAAGTTTTGCATGGGCTTTAACAATATAACTGAAAAACTTCCTAATTTTAAGTATTTGAACTCTCCACAAATAAAATACCCCAACGCACTGGGACCTTACATGATTCACGAGAGGATCACAGCACACACTGTGCAGTTGCAGAAGGTTTGTATGGCAAGTTGTGGGCACAAAATTCAACATTTCTTTTTAATGTAGATCATTCCTATTTTTTTTCTAGAATGTGTTATTTATCTCTGCTACTCTCCAACGCTTTAGTTCATTTCATGTCTTACAAAAAACTGGATGTGATGTCTGTCCCTGCCTGCAGGACAAAGTGAAGGAACCCTTTTATTTATTTATTTATTTATTTATTTTGCAGTTCTCCAAACATCAAACCACAACTCTGTTCTACCTCTAAAAGAGTTAGCACACTCACCTGAGTGAGTCTGCATCCTCACCTGGGTACCAGGAGCTGTTATAACCCTCTGTTGCTCAGGTGGATCAGATCTGTGGATTTGAAGGGGTTTTACTTCCCTTCACTGACTGTTCAGGAAAATCAAGGGAGTGTTTCAGCAGCTTTGCCTGTATTTCCTTACAAAAAGGGTTTTTTTTTACCTTAGGCAAGTAAATATATTCTTCCCTCTTCATGCTTTGAGGGTGACATGCCTCAGCATTTCATTAGTATATTGGCTTTCACAGGCAACTTCTGCCAATAATTTGCAGACCAAATAATGTATTTAAACAAAAGGGGCTCTTAGAAGTCTTTTCTTTTGGTGGGGTTTGGATTAAAATTGCAGTTAGCTATACTGGCTCTTCTTACCTCCAATTCAATTCTTTTACCTTTTTTTTTAAAGTGTTATCATTTTCTGCTTAATTTCCATGACTGACTTTGGCATGTCTGATATTGTTTGCAGATTCCTCTTCCCTTCCAAGCAATCAGCATTTGGTTAATTCTCACCTCATCCTTTGCAGATACTCACGCCCAGGTCATCCTGCTTCAAAACCTGAAAAAGGCCAATTACAACATCCCAATCTCAGTGACAGATTCTGGAAAACCCCCTCTGACTAACAACACAGAACTGAAATTACAAGTGTGTACCTGCAAGAAATCCAAAATGGACTGCAGTGCCACCGATGCCCTTCACATCAGCCTGACCCTCATCCTCCTGTCACTCCTCAGTTTACTTTGTAAGTCTTTTGCTGAACTGTAAGTAATGAAGTGTTGTTAACCTGCTCATTTGTACTCCCCATAAGAAAACCTACCAAGGGAGAAGTTAAATTCCTCCACTGATATCACAGTGCAGTAAGTTTGGGTTCTTTTTCCCTGAAGGAATAGCTGTGAGAAAGGTGGGGGGAGGGTTTCTTCCACAGTCAAAAAATAGCAACGAGTGCCTGATTGTCAAATTAAGAAATAGAAGCAAGAATTTTAAGAAGAATCAAAGAGAATTAGAGCCAGTATATGATAAACTGAGAAGTACCAGCTGTAGTAGCAGATTTGTGAGACGCTTGCTTTCATCTCTCCCCACTTGAATTCAATTCAAACCCAGAAACAGGAGATTAAAGGTGTTCATGTAACAAAAGCTGTTCTGGGTCACCAGGAAAATGAGGACTGTCTGCTCCAATTTATTCCTCTGCATAAAGTGTGCAAGTGACTGGAACATGAGGAACTTATTGGTGATTCTGGGCTTCGAACCACCCAGAACTGAAAATCAAATCGCCAGTCTGGGTTGGAGGGCAGAGAGAACTGACAGGCAAAAGAAGCTTCTGCTGCTTCTAAGAACGAGTCACAAAAGAGATTTACAAAATTCCTAATTTGAATTGGAAGAAGGAAAAAAATAATCCCAGAATGACTCAAGAGTAGGAATTCAAAGCCGTGGAATCCCACCATCTAACCTGGGGGTGTCCCTGGCTTGTTCTGTGACAGTTGCCAGCAAATTTTTGATGCAGGATTACTTTTTATTGCCTTACCTATTAAAAAAGTATAGCTGTTCCCTATAACTGTAATAACAAATCTGTTATTCAAGGACTATTATCCTCGTCTCATGTGACTGAAATACATTGGATGATGACTTAATACCTGAGCCATAGGGAAAGGCCTTGCATTCTCCATGAGACAGAATCTACCACAAGGCAGAGAAGATTTACACATCTGAGCTTGATGTATTCTTGATTACACATCTTGTGCATTTTTTTCTTATTGTGTACTGCTTTTATCCCAAAAGGTTGGCATGAAGGTCACTGTGAGAGAGCTGGTACTGTCTAATGTTTGTGCTGCTCTTGAAGATGAAAAGGACTGTATAAATGCTAAGTGCAAATTCATGTTCTTACTTTCAATCAGTGACATCTAAAGTATCTGCACTGCCTTTGGTTCAGCTGCTCTGGGTTTAGTCTGCTGGAACCAAAGGCAAACTTCAGCTGTTAGAAGTAATATGTTAAAGATGTTTGACAGGACGTGACACCATTGCACCAGTGAGGGAAATGTGCAGCCCATTGATTCAAATATATTCCTGTTACCACTCCATAAATGTTGCTGGTGCTACACTGGGCGTGACTTTCACCACTGGAATTATTTTTTTTCTGACGTGATTTGCACTTGAACTTTATTTACATGAATGCATCTGAATATCAGAATATAATGAGGTAGAGAAAAGCTTTTTGCTTTAGAAAGTTGCTAATTTTGTGGGGGGTTTATAGGTGATCATTTTCCTTCTGTTGAATTATAAAACCGCTTCTAGGTATTGGAAAGCACTTCTTGAGTTGCTCTTTTTGACTATAGATCTTCTTTGGCTCAACTATAGGTAGGATACAGCCCCTGGCATCTGAAAGGGTATTCCATGGCTGGTATTCCATCTCTGGAACTGCTACTTATGCAAAGCCAGCAAGCATTACAGCTTTCCTAACCATTTTCCTCAGGTGTAAATGACTACCTGGAATAAAAGAATGAGGCCGGGAGCCACTTAAAATAATGTGGTTCTGTGTTTGAACTTCTCTAAAATGTGCTGGTATCATTGCATTCCCAATTCATTTCCACACACTTTTTTTTTTTTTATAACTGTGATTAGTTCCATTGCAATGTTTTTGTATAGTCCATATATTTATCAGAGTAATCAAAGATTATGATGCCATAAAAACAAAGAGAACTTTAGTGCTTATTGAACAGATGAAATGTCCCATTTCTAGTGGCAAGTTATGGATTTAATTTTAGCAAAAGCCCTTACGTGGCTCACTTTGCTCCCAGTGTTTATGTTTTATGAGGCTCTTGTTCCTGGGAGGTAAATCCTTCAGTCAAATGAACTTTGTTATTCATGCCAAAGTATTTCTTTTTGTATCTGACATCTGGTGTGAGGATAGATAGCCCTGTGAAAGAGCTGTTCATGGGAAAAGTGCCCTGCATGAATATCTTCCCTCTAGAAAACATCTTGGTATTATCATTTAAATGGTGCAATTATTATCTATACTTAGAATATGTGCCTCCTTCCTAAATCATGAAAGAAGTTCAGATGTGGCAGATTTCTGGAGTGTCTGAGCACAGAAGTGAAGAGGCTGATTAAAACTGTAATACATGCAAAAACCAGCAGTTCCTCCTATTCTGTGGGTACCCTGCTGTGTTCAGTATATTGAGGGATAATGGGATACAGTCTGCAGGGTTGCCCAGGAGCCCTTGGAAAGGTAGATATACTTGGAACAAGAAAAATTTAGGAGTCCTTGTCAGCCAGAAATAGAAAATATAAGATGCCAAAGTATCTGGGCAGATTGCTGGTTTTCCATATCAAAACAGTAAAGCACTTGGTGGGATTGAAAGATGGTGAATATAGATTTGATTGAAAAAAGGAGCATTTTTGTATAGTTTGTACTTAACCTAACTAACTACTACTGGGAATCAGTGGAAATATGTACAGTGGACAGGTGGAGGACTTTCCAAAGTTACAGTAATTAAGGCTAACAAATATTGGGAAGAATATTCAGTGTCACCTGTCATTAATGCAGACACCACATTTCAGACGAGACCTGATGTAGCAGCATCTTGTGCTCTGTCAGCTTTTCCTCACCACTTTTAGTGACAAGACAGGACCAAAATGTTCAGATATAATTTAGAATGTATTAATTCAGATTGAATTAAAACAACAGATAAAAAAATAGGTCTGGGTTCCTCATCGGGGAGAAGGACTGTGGAAATGGGTTACTTTAAGATGAGAAAGAGTGGAGAAAAGAGAAAGTGTGTCATGCAGCATCTCTGGTGCTGGGTCTGAGGTTGTTCATGCTGTCCCTTAGTGCTGTATTGTCTCAGTCATCTCCTGGTTTCAACTGACACAGCTAAAATAGCTCTGATCAGAATTAATGTAAGCAAAGTGATGCACTCAGCACCACCAGAATTATGAACAAGTTCCCTCTGCAAAGCTCCTGATCATTTTTAGTAAGAGAACAACTATGACATTCCATACGGATGAGGGATGGAGATAAGGGGAAAATAAAACAAGCTAAATAGTAAAAGATTAAGATAAAAACAGAGTTGTATATATTGTCATAACAAAGTCAGCAACAGAAACTGCCACTGGCCTTGTGAGAGACTGAGAAAGAATCACTCTAGTTGGCAGACTAAGCTTTAGATAAATTACAAATCATTTATATTGTAATTATTTAAAAGAGTATTTGAATTCTGGACCTTTGATTTTATAATAACTATTTCACTTAATTGCATAGTCACTGAATGATAATTGCATTTCCTATTTCCTTTTCTATTCTGACAACATAAAAGACCAAGTTAGGTTCCAATGTGTGGAATGAGGGGACTAAAAGAATGACCAAAGGCACAATAGTCATGTCAGTAACATTTTACTTAAAATTCCTAGTTAGAAAAAGGCTGGACTTCAAACACTTCATGCTGAAAAAAACCCACAATTTTGTACCTTAGTTGACTGTCAACCATTGGTAAGACACTTCTTTGTGTTCACAGTGGAATACAGAGCTGTAAGTTGAACTTACTTAAGTAAAGTATTCCACTATTCTGAACAGAAAGTAATGTGTGAGACTGGGGGGGGAAAACTTCCATGAAGAAATTAAATAAGCTGGAGGTCTCTCCATTGGAATTAATTTGTTAAACTGAGGGTGAAAGGCCTCAGGTGTGTTGAAGAACAGAGACTCACACAGATGTCAGTGCTGTGATTGCAAAGGAACCTTAGAGATACCTTTGAATTTAATTTCCTATTAATTTCCACAAACTTTTCCTATTTAATGCCTGCTGTCCCTCACCATAATGTTTTTCTAATTTGAGGAATACAGCTACAGGGTCAATAGAGAAAAAAAACCATCTTTTTTCTTTCTCCTTGGAAAATTATGTATTTGTTATTAAACCATTATCAAAAAAAAATAAATTTGAATTATATTAACCTGTGGGTTTGAATTTACATGAACCTGGACAGCCAGAGTTACTGCTGCAGTGTTATCCTTCACCTGGTTCATTTTTCAAAGCAACAGCAGCATTTGTTTCTCTTGTATATCCCATGTTAGTTGTGCAGGAACATCAAATGGCTGAGACTGAAACTCTGAATTCTTGAATGGCACCAGACTAAGACAAATCATAGCAGGTTTCAAATGGAAAACACCTTTAAGGTCATTGCTCTTTCCATTACCTGCAGATTCAGGTTTTTTTATTGGGAGTTACTTGCCTTAGTTTTAGACAATCAGGTAGTATATTGTTTTCAGGGCTCAGCTACTGTTTAGTTTTTACAGTAGAATTTTGGCTTTTGCCAAGAAAAAGTTCATTCCTATTCCATGCAGTTCCTTCAGAGGAATCATTCCCGTAGAAGAATTTGCTAAAAACAATACTTTGTGTTTGTTTCTTTCTTTTGTTGTTTTGGTCGTAACTTTCTACAGCAATTTTCTACTTTTCAGAGCAGTGGTATTTAATTAAAAAAAAAAAATCAGTTTAATTAGCAAGACTAGGGAAGCTTGCAAGATAAATTTTCCCATTTTTGAGAAGTAAAAGATGCCTGTAGTGGCTAGAATTTCAAAAACCACCAAGGTGGGAAGAGTTTTGCTGTTCAAGGTGGTTTGTTGGGGTGGGGTTCATTTTGCACTACTGTAATTTGAGTTACATTCTGTGTTAGAGCAGATAACATGTAGGTACTTAAGGTAGCAGTAAATTATGCTACCCAAGTATTTGTAGGTTACTGATATTTAGTGGGTTCCAGTGATATAAATCTCATCTCCTCAAACCAATATAACAGCAGCAATATCCACTATCACTCTTAATGCTTATTATCTCTGTTACAGAGGCTTTGCTCCATATGAACATTATTATTGTTACTGCTAAATATCAGCGATATAGAGGCTTTTTCAAATGCCTGTATGAGTAAAATACCATTGTTGTTGGTCTCCTTAATGAGTTTGGTTGCTTAAACCAAAGTAAGGAAAAGATGGTTTGGGGGTTAAGGGATTTCATTCGATTTGAGCCAGCCTTGATTTGAATCTCGCTTTCAGCTCAGAGCTGTGTCCATTCTCCTGATTTCTCTGCAGGTTTAGTCAGTCCTGCAATGTATTTGCACTTGGCTTTGGGAGCCCACCTCAAGTTAATGGGGCTTGAAATGGCACAGAAGGTCCATATGGATGCCCATAATTGGAGACAGGACATTTATACACCCAGTCATACAGACATGACAAATGGAAATACCCCCCAGTTGTATACCAGCATATTTAAAATGTGCTTAATGACATTACATTTTATTGAGTCAATTAGGTGGGAAATGGCATTTTATACACATTTTAAACCATCCAAACACGTTCCAGAAGTACAGACATGAAAAAAAATACAACAGTTTAGAAGATGTGTGTTTGGAGTGCAAAAGAGAACAATGTTTCCAGCAAATACAGCTCCTTCCTAAGAGCTGCAATATTGTTCCTGATGGTCATTCTGTAGGCATGAAATGGACATTTAAAGAGATTGGTTTGATAGACCATTTAGTGTTGTGAATTCAAATGAACACTTTTGTGTTTTCATTTTCTCAACAGTACTCTGCAGTTACTGATGAGATATAATATTTTGTATTTCTTTGCTGAACAACCTCTTAAAGGCACATAAATATTGAATTGTTCTGGAGTGGCCTATGACTTAAAAACTAGAACTGAATAAATGACCAAGTATTTTTTCTGTCCTCAGTGGGCCCTGTACACCATGGGGTGTTTGTTTCTTTGAACTGTCCCTGTCCTTGGGTATTTCCCCACTCTATAACGTCCAAACAACTCAATTGCTTGCTGTTAGTTTTAGATGTGATACTAAACATAAATGGAGGAGATTTTTTTTTTTGTGCCTAAGATGATGTTGGGTTTGCTGCTTCTTTACTTACAAAGTCCTTTAAAGGGCCATTCATGTTTGGAGCATTTCAGACTGCATCTTAAAGCCTTGCTTCATCCATATGTTTAATTTGGATATGTCATTAGTTAGTGCTTATGTGAGTGCCATGCTTATGAATAGCTCTTCACAAACTTTGAAACAGGCAGGTTTTCTCATTTGATTTTCCCTTTTCTCTGGCTTATGAGCATTATTCTCTCCTCACATTTTTTTTCTATTTTATTCTTACTTAAAATGAATTTCTTCAGATGATTATTTTAGCATTTCAAGCTGGGATTAGCCTATACCTACAGAACTGAATGTGTCTGGACTACTTATGTTCATGTTCTACTTATTTAAAACTGATGGTGAACTAAGCTGTGCTGCTGTGGAAGGTGAGCTCTGCCTGCCTGAGCAGTTACCCACTCCTTTAAAAGGTTGGCTCACGGGTACGTTTTGATGCATTTCATTTTTCAGCATAAATATGAAAAATCAGGAGACTTGTTCAATGCTGCTATTTCAAACCTGTACTTATTCATTTCATTTGCTGAATATTTTCAAGCATTCAGATAAATCTATCAGATTAGGGCAGAAGAAAATACAGGTCCAGGCTGCAGGCAGCCACCTCTGCAATTGTTTAGTTTTGATGGAACTGGAAAATGAAGGAAGCATTTATTGCCTATTGGTTAAATGAACGTGACATTGCTTTGGCAAAGTATCCAACTAAAATTCATATCAATTTTAAAAAAAATAATCATCTAGTACATCTTAGTGACTCTGCCCTAGAAAATGCCCCCATCCCCAGTAAGATACTTCATATCCCCGGTGAACAGGAATTTCATTAGAAGATGCTTTATTTGATAAATGTAGCAGTGCACTGGGCTGGGTGGAACATGCTTCTGAATTTCTAAGCAGAGTTAGAATTTTACTTCATCTGAACAGCTTTTCTCTGGGATGGTGCTTCTTTTATACATTCCTTGGGACCAGCTCGTTCCGTGGTGAGTGGATGTGGGTACACAACAAGGAGGAGGGGAAGCAGAAACCAGGAGCAGCAGTGAGCAGGGCCACTGCCAGGAGCCAGAAGAGCACTTTGTGGTACATCAGCCCTGCTTCAGATCTGCCACTACAGTCTTATAATAAATTAGTTAGGAGTGGGAGAGCCACTCTTGGAAATACCATCTGCTGGTGTCAAAGACGTACCTGGTGAAAATGGCTTCAGCCTGAGCAACTTATTCCCCTGTGCAGGCTGATTAGTTTGGATTGGCATGTGTTCTCCACTGTCTTGCCAATTGTGGCCACTTGCATAGCACGTGCCAGCATTTTAGTTCCTGGAGTTAAATATTGACATTGATATACGAGAGCCCACTGGAGCTGTGAGTGCAGTCATGAGACACTCATTTCACACGCAGCACTAATGCAGACAGTGTTTTTCCTGTCATTAAGAACTTTGAAATCATTTCTCACATAAATGGAAAACAAATTATATATTATGTCATTAGCTGCAAATTTTTGGGATAAACTCATTTACTGCTGTAAATGAGTTCCTCATAAAAGTTTAAAAGTTCCTTATAAACTTTTCCCCAGGGTGTTGCTGCCCGGTGAGATCACCAGTTTCTCCAGCCACAATCATCATACCTTCTGCTCTGGCTGACAACTAACCCCAAAGTTCTCAAGTGCAGGAATGAGGACACAGGGTATCCACCTGGGAATTGTTGTTTCAGTCTTTCAAATTCAATGAGATTTGGGGTGAAATATAATTTAAAGGCATATGGTGCAGACACCGTGAAACTTCTGGTGTTGAAAACTACAGGTGACTAATCAACCAGTGATGCACATGAAAATCATTTATATTTCTCTAAGTTCTACATGAAGGCTAAACTAATAACTGTGTATCTAATTAATGACCTTTTATAGTAGGTAAATCCAGGAAAGAAGTGCCTGGGTGTTGATTAGCTGCCTAATCAGAAACACAGTTCTGATCTCTTCTCTCATTTTTGCATTACCTCTTCAGCGTTACTGGGGTTTCGATGAAGTCCATGATGTAATGCAGGCTTCTAATTATGCAAAATTAATATAATATTTCTGATGAAAGGGTAATTGAAAGAAATGGAGCATGCATGAGCTGAACTCCAAACTCTAGCTGCATTAACTCTCATATTTTAATGGGAATTAAAGGATGAATGCATTGTGGATAAAGCTCATTCCTGTACAGAGGGTCAGCGTGAAACTTAAAGGCCTTTAATTTTTATGAGGTTTTAACTGCAGTGTAGAAGCACAGTCTGTGTAATGGGGGGTGAGTTTGGTCTCAGGAGAAACACATCTTTCAGAGGCTTTTAATTACTCAATTTAGACCTGTTTCTTTAAAATAAGTAGGGAATTGAATCACTAATATAGAAATATGTTCAGAGAAAGCTAAGGCTGCAGCAGGGAGGCTTGGAGTCCCTGAGACATTCCAGAGCATTTTCTGAGATCAGGAGTTGCTTGTTGCCTGATGGGAAGGGTTCTGCTGGAATATGAGCTCTTGGCAACCTGAACCACAGTGAATGAGGTTACAGGCTACCAGTTGCATTTTTCCTGGGATGGGGCATTGCGAAATCTTGTCTTAAAGTGCTCTGTGTGGTTTTTTTCTCCATTTTCTTCTCTCATGGGGATCAACATAAGGAGTAAACCTTGAGTTAGCCCACTGTGAAACAGGCAGGTAGCTGTAGTCCTTAAAAAAATCAGTATTATAAACACTTGGCTTGCACCTTTTCCAAACCAATGACAATTCAGGTCTGTCCTGTGCAGTTTGTGACCAACATCAACAACTCTTTTGACTTTCCAAGCACAGTCAACATCAACAGACTTCAGTGGAAATAAAAACAGGGCTTTATTCCATTTAAGTTTCTAAATTACGAGTCTCCCTTCCCTAAACCATCTACCTAGCCCTCTATTCCTATAGCATTATTATTAATATTAATTAACTATTAGTAACACTATTAGTACATCAGACCCAGAGAAACATGTACCACATTTGTCAGTTTTCTTGACCAGCAAAAGCAAACATCATCTTCCAATGCCAGAGTACGAGTGCCAACAGACACCAGCTGTTTGTAATGTGCTCTGCTTTCTTATCTGAGACCATTAACCAGGCCAGTAATAATTCTGACAGCAAACACAGAGCAATAACCCTGTTTTTCTCACTCTTATCTTGCTGTTTGACTGTTATCTTAAAAGGAATGTGGCTAAATGTATGTCAGGTGTTGAAGAGGTAGAGCAGAGAACTGTGAGATAAAATTAGTGGGGATCACATTAAAGACTTCAGTGGGAGAGATTTCTGGAGAAATAAGTCCCATATAGATGTACTGGTTTAGTGGTACTTGTGCATCCCCCAGACCCCTTCAGGGAAAGTTGAGGGGTGGCCGGGTGAGAGCAAAGATGCAGCCCCACCTTCGTGGCTTGCAGGTCTCCAGCTTCGGGCAAAAAAATTACCTGTTGTAGGCACAGAAATCACATCTGAAACAACACATGGTGTTGTAATAATTCTTGAGTGCTGAGACCAGTTATGGAGACAGAGCTAATAAAAAGAAAATAAAATAATTACTAGGTGTAATTATCATTACTCTGCAGATCTGCCAGGCACAGGCTTACTAGGGCATTAAATTCTTAAAAGAAATTGTTCACCCTGATCAGCAAATGTGTCTCTTGCACACATTATTTGCACATTTTATGCTCACAGTGTTCTTTAAGTACTAATATCTTCTATGTGTTGTTGCCATCTGCAAACTTTAAATCACATGTATTATAAAATACATAAGAATAGGTTAAAAAACTAAAAACAAATACAACCCCATTGAAGTAGTGGATAAACACTAGGATTCTTTAGGATAGCTGTTTAGAAACAGAGCTCAAATAAGAAGTAGATGCTAATAGTTTGGTTGGGTGTGTGCTTTTCTAGAAATTTCATTTAGTCCTTCTTTATAGGGAGAATAAAAAAAAAGAAAAGCAAACAAGAAAACTACAATTCCTGCAGAGAAAATAACAGACATTGGAAATCCATCTGGGAGAAGAGAGATTTTAAATATGGACCAGAGGCTTATCAGATTTTATAACAGAGCAGTTGTGTTGGTTTCAGCAGATTCAACATTGATTTTTTCTGTACAATCTGTGGTTGTTCTTGATTTCTGCAGATTTTGTGTTAAGGGAGTTACTGGCCAGAATGTTTGGCCAATAACAATTTACATAACTATATCAGACTATTTGTAGGAAAAAAATCAGTAACTGACACTCTCTTATTAAAACCAAAGAAACTAAAATTTAAACTAACTTCTCTATAGGACAGAAGCAATTTTTGATCACCTTTATGTGCAATAGAAAGAGCCAAGATAGATTTGAACTTGTGTAATCTTACTTATCAAAGCTGGTTATCTACTGAGGTTTTACAGCCCATAATTTTGAAGGTTGAATCTGATTTTTAGAGGCAAACCCCACTCCTTCAGCAATCCCCCTTTACAAAAGGGTCAATCATCATTAACGAGCAGAGACCTACTGTTCTTCCAGGCAGTGTTTGGAACAAGGTAATTCTTTTAACACAACTTCAGCCGAGGCTGGTGAAAGGGCTGAGCTGAATTCACAGCACTCTTGGCCCCCTTTGCCAAGGCCAAGAGTTTTGCAGAGGTGTCAGCAAAAGCAGCTGTTAGGAGACAGCATTTTATGGAGGCTTGCAGGGAGCTCCTCCCATATCACAGGTTTCTTTGAAAACGTGTCAGTGAAAGCTGCCATCGTGGGCTATGAATGGGAGGAAAAACAGGTCATGTAGAGATAATCCAGGGACACGTGTGCAGTAGGGAAGAGGCCGTGAAGGAGTCGCAGCTGCAGAGGTTTTGTCAAAGTGGCAGATGAGGAAAATGCTCTGTACAGCAAAAACTGACAGGGTATGAGCACACAGGAGCTTCAATTTGTCAAGGGCTCAGAAAAGATGCTGCAAACCTGCTCACTGAGGAGAGCCTGGGTAGGAGATTTAGCTGTTTGAATGGCTAGAGAAAGCTCTTTGGGACAATGTGTGAAAAAGAATCCTCTAGATTGACATAAGCTAAATATACAGACCTGGAGAGGAGATTCCATGACAAAAACCTCCTCCCGTTTGCTTCTGTTTCTAGGCTTGAACAAGAGGCAGGATGATAATGTTGTCCTGAGCAATCAAAGGAAGAACTAGAAGGGAGTGCTTTAGGGGAAAGATTTAAGAGCTGAGTTTTAGCTCTGTAGAGTTGTCAGCTAAACATGCAAAAGGTATCAGGGCTAGAGGCTGACACTTTGGACTAAATGGAAAAGCAGGAAAAGAGAGTAAGATCTCTGGATTGTCAGTACTGATGTGGTTGCTGAGGGGTTAGGAATGGTGTCACAGAGAAAGGGAAGCAGTTAAAGTGGGGGGAAAAAGGGTTTCACAAAAAAAATGGAAGGGAGAGATGAGACAGAAGGACACGATGGAAAAACGATTAGAGAAATCATAGTAAAATGACAGGAGGAGATAATCACTGGAGCCAAGGGAACTTCAGCTTTCCAGGCATGTGATTAAATGGGTGGAAGGGGGATGATAGGTCAGGAAGGTGAAGTAGAGAAGCAATTTCAATAGAAAGAAAGTCAGGCCAGAGACTGCAGAGCTTTGAGGTAAAAGGGTAAGGGATGGGGTGGTGCTTGAAGAGGCAGGTGGGGTAACAGGGAGGATCAAAAAGTGCTTATATTGTGAGAGAGAGAGAAAATGGTCTTCAACACAAAGAACTGGCACAGGAAAGAACAGATTCATAATTAAGGTTGAACTAACTAGTTTTTATACATCATTTACTCAGGAAAGGCAAGGTGTATGAGAAGGGAGTAACATTCATTATATCTGTCAATATGATGTAAAATATACAAGCTTTTCTTCAGGTCTGCACATAAATCACCAAACACTGCCCTTTATTTACAAGCTGTTGGTGAAGCAGTCACTGGCTGCTTGAATTTGTGTGATACTTATAAATTTTGTGCTGACAGATTCCTCTGGTGAAGTTTCTACGGATTGTACAGAAATTCAGTGCCTCAGCTGCTGTTCATTTATCATCTACAAGTGCCTGTCCTTACCAGGAAGACCTCCAGGGATCTCCTAAAGATTCAGAGTAGCTTTGCCAATCCAATAGTTCTTTTGAGCCAGGTTTAAACAAATGCCCTTTAATGACACTAAGCTCCGTTGAGATCTGGAAATGCTATTTTTCAGGTGGTCTGTGAGATCAGAGTCCCAAATTCTTGCTTTGCACCAACCCAGGAGATCAGGTTGTTTATGAGAATTTGGTCCTAGCTGGAATCCCTAATCCAAATATATCCACACTTTGGCAGTCATGGCCATAAATCTCCTACATGTAAGTCAGGATCCTGATTCTGTGGCCAGATGTTTTCTTTAAGCAGCATGCTAAAAACCTACATACCAAGCAATTCCAGATTTCAGCTAGTTTGGATATCTCAGTGAAACTTCTCGCTTCAGTGAGCCCCATCTATCAGTCCCTCCATAGATTTCTTACACTTGCATAATTTGCTTTACTTAACCTTTGTTTTCCAAAGCTGATGTGGTGCTGCAGGGAAAGGCCAGGCAGGTGAGGGCCATCCAGGTGCCTGCTTTGCTGCTCAGCCCATCTGGACAAGCCCCAGCTAGAAAAATTCAATATTGAGGTCAAATCAAATGATAACAAGAAAGAAACAGATGAAGTAAAACAATCAGTAATTATATTAAACTCGATTTGTCCCAATGGACAAACAGATAATTAAAACTTATTGAAGTGCACAAGCAGCACCCAACACTGACCATTACCTTCCTATTTGTGCTGCATGTGTCTGTGCTTGTGACAAAACTATTGATATTGAATCTTTTAAGTGTACAAATGCAATAGATATTAGAAAAACATTTCCTGGATGAGCCTGGATGTGTCTTTCCCCTGGTTTTATAGGCTGAGTGTGACACCACATGGTGTGGGACAGGTGGGGTTGGCTGTCCTGGCTGTGTCCCCTGCCAAGTCCTTGTGCCCCCCAGGCTGCTCCCTGGTGGAACAGTAAACACCTTGATATTGTGTAAGCACTGCCCAGCAATAAATAAAATACTGTTGTGTTATCAACACTGTTTTGGTCACAAATCCCAAACACAGCTGCTGTGAAGAAAATTAACTCCATCCCAGCCAAAACCACTACAACCAGTAAAACGCTGTAGAGTCAGAAGTTTTGTTTTGTTTGAGAAACAATCCAGTTTAATTATGTGTTTTGCCAACACTGTTCTTACTATTCTTATGTGGTTTTACTGCAAAGCTGAATATTTGCAATTTACTGGTGTCTAAGCAAAATTGCAGGAAAATGACACATTAGCTACAACTAATGTTACTTTTACTCCTCGACTCTCTTTCCTGAATTTCTTTACTGCCTTGGTATCATCAGAGTGCCCATCTAAAATAGGCAAAAGAATTCAAGTTGTGCCACTTTCTCTTCATTTAAATAAAAAAAATCCACATAAGATTTATACTTCTATGGCAACGTTAATATGATATACAAAGTTTCTTATTCCCTGGTTTATTCATAAACTATAAGGCACTATAAATGTGTTATTTTTCGAAAGATATTGTCTGTTTGCTCCTTACTTGTCAGTGTATGTGCAAGTGAGGGAGGGACTCACTGGCATTTCCCTGTGCTCTTGCAGTGATCGAATTGTCAAAGGGGGACAAACAGGTCCTGGCTTGGGATTTGTGCTCACACCTCCTCACTACATCTTCCAGAATTGTGCTACAGTGTCTCTGAATGCCCCAGGTGACATTTAGGGTTTTCCTCTTGGAGATTTCTACCTTCACAAATAATTGCTTCTGAACCCAGATAATTTATATTTAATTACTGGCAACGTATGTGTGCTCAATCAGTGATTTAATTGGGGGAAAAAAAAAAAAGCAAACAGTTAAAAGCTCTTGTGATTTGCCCAGCAATACTCACCCCCATCTCCCGTCCTTTAGGTCTGTAAGAATTCCTGCCATTCGAAGCTGTCCTGCCGAGTTGCCACGGCAACGAGAAGAAGGAAACCGTCAGATCTGAAGATTGCAGTTTACAGTTACTGTTCTTCACTACTCGGCCTCAGTTGCTCCAGTTTAATTTGCAACCTCACTCAATCTGTCCGACTGTACCTTGGTGTTCGAGGGCTTCTGCCCCACTTCCCTTTCTCCATGGATTCCTCTTGCCAGACACAAGGTTTACGCCAATTTTCTCTGAATGTTAAAAGACCATGACATCTAAACCCGACCCTGGGGGAGCAGAAAACAGATTGACTCCATTTTTTTCTATCTGTTGACTTGTTGCTATTCAACTGTTCAGAAAATATTTTGTCTGTGGGTTAGTATTTGTATATGTATGAGTGTATGTATATATATATATTTATATAGAGAGTTCTACCACAGGTTTAGCTTTTATAAAATATTCATCTGGATCAAGGGAGAAAGCAGAATAATACAGCCACAGATGAATTGTACCTGTTCTACCATGGCTAAACCTACTGTATTTGCTGTTTATAGTGTGGCCAGGAGGAGAGACCCCATTGCCATCTCACCACTGTGCTGACATGAACCAGGCAGGCCCAGGGCTCTGACGTGGCTCTTCTCGTACCTCAGGTTCAGCAAACAAGAAATGCAAGTCCCCTGGGCTTGTTCCTGATCTGAACTGCTTTCCTTCTGCCCCAAATGGAGTTTATGACCCAGGAGGAGCAGCCAGCTGGGAGGGTCACCGCCTACAGCGAGGGCAGCGCTGGGCCTGATTTTAGAGGGGCTAAAGGGGGTAAATCATTTGCTGGGGCTGCTGACAACATTTCAGCCTTTGTCAGCTCTGCACACAGGGGGAGGTGAGCAGATACCTGCAGGTGAGCAGCTGATCCAAGCAGCAGAAGCTCAGTGTTTCCCAGAGCACTGGTCTCTCTCGGCCCCTGCACTGCCCCGTCCCCCACGTGAGCGCCAGGAGGTCACAGATGCCCCATTCTATAAATATCCTCACAAACACACATATATATACTTTTGAATATATATATACATACATACACATGTACACAGTTTCCAGTTAAGAGTAACAAGAGCATTTCTTTGTGTGTGTAAACTTACCACACTCGTTTGCAGACATGGGAAAAAAAAAGGGTGTTCGTTCTATATGAATATGGATCCTTTTTTTATTCTGTGAGCATGTAAGGTCAGAAAAACCCTTCTAACTGTATGAAGATGATCATCTTGTTAATAAATTGTAAATGATCCATCAAAGCTCACACCAAATTTTTATAAAATTAACACAAAAAAGTATACTAGTGACAGACTGTGGCTTTTATTAGAGCTTGCCAGTAACTAGGGTAAGGTAAGTGTCTTAGAATATTTTAATAAACTTGCTTATTTAAAGTTTAAACAAGAAAGCTTCCTTATGCAATAGAACTTTGCAGCTGCATTCTTTAGTTAGCATTTTTACAGTACTTATGAGTCATACTGTATGTCATCTTTACTACAGTGAGATTATGAGCATATCTTCCACACCACGTCTATGTTTCAATAGTAAAGATTTTTGGAAGCATTAAAAAGTCCAAACATACATTTGGTTTTCCATAATGCTACACTAGATATTAAATGTGTGTTGGTGGTTAAAATTTGCTGTACAATAGCTTTTCTCTGACTTCCTGTATTGTACCAAATATGAAACAGGTTTTTTTTCTTTCTTTTTTTAATCAAAAGGAGTAATAACAACAGCGACAGAGGAAAAATGAGTTTGTGTTGTGAGCTTTCCTAACGTTGTAGATTTCCTGATAAGATATGAGCTGCCTTCAGACAGGAACTTATTTTTCTCTTTCAGCTTAACTCCTGCAGTTCTGACCAAGTGAAAACTCCCCCTGACCCCGTTTCTCTTGCAGGAGGCTCTCGGTGTCTCAGTTACCAAAGTGGTACTTCGGGGTGAGCAGGAGCTTCTCTTGGTCAAGGACATCAGGAGTGGGCTGTTGGCAGCTGCAGGCATTCCAGCAGGGAAGTGCCTGATCTCAAACACTAACATGGGCAAGCTTCTGGTTCTCTTTCTCTGCCCATGCCTTGTGATAACCATATGCTGCTGCTTTGTCATCAACAATCACACGTCTTTTTAAAAAAAATATATATTATTTTCAAGCAAAATTTTTCAGAAGGGAAAAAAAAACTCAACCAATGTATAACACCACTGAATTTCCGACATGTATGTTACACCCAAAGATTTTCTGCACCCTGTGCTTTGATCTACAAAACCTCTATCTTCAATAAAAGAAATTATAATATCCTCCCCCACAAATACTCTTTTTCTACTTGCTTTCTTCCTCTCTCTATCCAGCAAAACCCTGGAAAGACACCCCTTGACATTGGTGTCCTTTCTATTGAGTACCAGAGAAAGCTGCCCTTCCCTCCTTTAAACCAAGGCTCACAGAGCATTTTTTGGATCGTTCCATCCAAAATGAGGAACAAAGGAAAAGCTCTTCTGCCTGGAACTACGCTGACAATGGGAAGAACTCTTTCTACCACTCTGTGCCCAAGGATAAGAGATCTTTCTTCTTGGATAACTCTGCAACCTTTGGACATGCAGAGAGGTGGCTGAAACTCTGAACCAAGATGCATCAAAGCCTTCAGTCACGTTACCCCTTTATCTCTGCACCCACATTAAAGCCTCCCAGCCTTTACCATGTGTCTGGGCTTCACACAGAGCTGATCACTGGACTTACCTGAGCATGCAAAGAGAAAATGAAGCTGCCATGTTAATGTTTCTCCTTCTCTGCACCTTAGAACATGTAACACAAGTCCGTGGCACGTCCTGCAGAGTTACACAAGGAGGAATCGTGTCAGAAGCTGAAGTTTCCTCCCTGAAGAAGGTTGTCATCTCTGGTTCAAAAAAAACGATGCCCGTTTCCTGAAACAAAGGAGCAACAATAATTTATTTGTTTGGGGTTTTTTTCTGCAATATAATGAAAAAAATAGAAAATTTACAAAATTGGTTGTATTATTTTAATAGTTAATTATGTTTAACATCTATTCAGCCAAGCTTGCTGTTTTTATAACATACCACTTATTCCTACGTAGCTATTTAATCACTACATTTATTTCTGTCTGTGTTTGTAGATACATAATGCTGTCTAGAGTTGGAAAGGCAGGGAAACTTGATTATCATTTTCTAACATGCACAAAACTTTTTGTTTAAAAATCATTTCACTTGAAATCTGCCGTTGAAACAAAAATTGGGACTAACCATCAGTGAGAGGAGTTTCTTGGCAAGAGAAAGGTCTCGTATTTGGTGCACTTGCTAATTGAACCCTTTGTACACCTGACGTGTGTGTTTTTACAAGATATCCGTGTGCATTTGTTAACGTACATTTTGTTCAGTAACTGTAGAGCTGAAGAGTAAAACAAAGGGAAAACGAGCTGAATTTCCTGCTGGGTATCAAGGAAAATTAGGTAAGAGTGGAACACTGGCTGATGCACCCTCTGAGCCCTGTTCTCATCGTGTTTACACTGCTGTAAATCAAAGAGCAACTCCATTGCTGGAACTGAGACTCACAGTTAATCATACTCAGATGAAATTTTTCATCTAAACCTCCCCACATATTGCTTTTACTGGTGGGCTCTGCACAGTAAAGCTGCAATATTTGTCACAGGGTTGCCGAGTGCTTACACAGTATCAGAAGTCTGTCTTTTGTGGCATACAGAGAACCTACAGCTCAGATGCCTTGTGTCCTTCACTGACCACTTCAATGTGTCTCTGAGGCACCCAGAATAATTGGCTTTAACCTTTATTTCAAGTGGCTGTGGCCAAATAATTTGTCCTGTTCCCTTGCGTAGTCACTTAATTTCAGGATCACTCTAATACAAATCTCATCTATTAAATTATGGACTTACAATCAGTTTTTAGGGTCCTTGATTAAATGTCTTATCGCTACAAAAAGACATATTATACTGACAACTTTTGTCTTTCCTTTTTTAAAGATCTGTTTGGAATACTGAGAAAGCTGCCAATTTTCTTCTCGAATGTTACTAATGCACTCAGCCCCTTGAAACAGCAGAAATCTGTACACAAATAACTTTACAACACTTTGTCTAAAGGCCAAGTTATTTTCAGAATTAATTCAATAATGTCTTATTTAATTTAAAAAAAAAACCTCTCACAATATAAATTAAAGTCACATCAGCTTGAGAACACCAAGTCGAAAGCAAAACTCTGATTCTATCTTGCTTTTATTGCATCTCTAGAAATTCAGTTGTCTGAGAGATACTGTCCAATGCTAGCAAAAAGATAAATAAAATAGCAATTATTATCTTTCAATTAACTCTGTGATCTATAATCTTTAGAATTAATATGCAAAGTACTTTAGTAATTATCATTATAACCATTCTACCTAAAGCAGATATAGCTGATTATTTCCTGTGTAAAGCACATAACCCACTGACCACACTTCTCTTGCTTCCCCCTGGGATACACAAACTGGTTTGTGCTTGTCCACATGGAATGGATGTACTCATGCACTCTCAGTGGAAAGTTACTAGTTGCACAACTGCTATGTGTGTATATATGTAGATATATAGAGATATACACATATAAATATATATATAATATATGCAGGTGGAGGGAGACTGATACAGCATGGAGACTTGGAATAAGCAGTTTAATTCCTTCAGTTATGGATGAAAATGTGAGTTAAGGGACAGCATGTGTTACATGTGCTGGACTAATCTGATTTAAGGCAAAGAAAAAAGGCAAAAGAACCCACAAAGTAAAACCCAGACTTATCCCAACTCTCATGTTGTATTTATGCTGCCTTTAGCTGTCCCCTCTTAACATAATTATATCATTTGAAGATATGCATAATTGTTTACTGACTCATTTTTAGTTGTCTGTTTATCAGCAGGTCACCAGTAGTGGGAAGGGAAGGGGTTAGAGGCAGAATTCTGCATTCCTGTGCTTTCAGTGGGACAGCTGTTCGGGAAAGCTTCGTCCAGCCTTGAACATTACACGCCTCCTCTGCATCAGCAAATGACTGTATCTGATAATTTGGGGTTAAAATGAACGTAGCCAAAGGCCAGACTGAGTGTGTGTCCCATTCACACCCTGCCTGGGGCTGGGACTGGAGAGTAAGGCCCTGTCTGGTGGACTGTGATGGTGAACTCAGTACAAACAAGCTGTGTTTTTACTGCCATTTCAGACAGAACCCTCCTGTAAATCACATCTACCCCATAACAACGCTTGTCTTTTTAAGTTGCCATCAATATTTTTTCTTTTTTATGATTTTCTTTCTTTTTCTTAAAGTTCAAGCAAGGAGGAAAATATTTTGTTTGATTTTAAAGATATTTAATTCAGTTAACTTTTCCAGTTAATCGTTCCTTTGGGCCCTAGTTGCTGAATTGCTTGCTGTTTCTGAGGTGTAAATAAACGTTTTGATTTATGACGTGGTTGCAAAGAAACTTGTAATTTATTTGTGAAATGCTCAAATAAAGGATGTATGGGCTTTTACCTTCTGTCTGGACGTAGACCTTGCTGATGCAGCACAGCAGGAAGGGAGGACTACTGACAAAGGACTGGAAGAGCCTGTGGGAAATACCAGAAATTCCCAGGTTGCTCTTAGTGAGAGAGAGAAATTGCAGCCTTCATCATCATCATCATCATCATGACATGGGTTTGGAAGGAGAATCTGGAGATTAGAGAGGTAAATAGAATCATAGACTCATAGAATGGTTTGGGTTGGAAGGGACTTTAAAGATCACTTCTTGAATGATCTAAAGATCATTCCAATCCCCCCCGCCATGGGCAGGGACACCTTCCAGGTTGCTCAGGGCTCCCTCAACCTGGCCTTGAACACTCTCAGTGATGGTTTGACCACACAAGATTAAGGCTGGATCACACAAGAAATCAGCAGCTGAATATTCAGGTAATAACTATAATTTGCCCTCTAAAGGCCCATTTCCATTACAAAGGCTGCCTTGAGCCAAACTCGGAGCAGATGTTCCCAGGCTGGAATGTGGGCAGGAGCTCGAATGAATTTTTGTTGCACTTCCTTTCTGCTTCACCTGACCACCTTTCCCACCTACCACCGTCTGTTGAGCTTGTAGAGAACAGCCAGACACAAAAAGTGCACAAACAATGCAGAATCAGGCTGAACAAATGTCTCTTTACTAGGGAATTCTTCTTCCAGTATAAAGTTAGAGCCTGTTGGCTTTCAGAAATTCCTGTGAGTTGTTTTTTAGATCCTTTAGGAAGTTATCTAAAGTGACATAGCCACATGAAGACAGAATATCCCTGAAAATAGCCTTTTAATCCATCTGAGAATAGAGGAAGCTGGGGAGGGAGGGCAGCAGTGGAAGGAAACATTTGAGTACAAGCCCCAGCAGCTTGTACTGCCACTGCCTCCTCCAGCTTCTGCCTGTTGCTGATGCTTTATTGGACTTTGAACCTAAAGGGATTTTTTCATGTGGTCCATAATAAGTAGAGGTTGAAAGAGTGTACATGAAGCATGTGGTGTAATTGAGCAAAAGGTCATTACCTGAAAGCCACAGCCAAAGTGTGTCACCTCCTTTGGTCTCAGCTGAAATCATTGTCCTAAACTAATGCTGTGCCTCGTGCCTTAGAAGAAGTGTTTGAAACAGCACAAAGTGAAATCATAAGCAATGAAACACTAACAGAGATAGAAAATGCTGAATGGTTTTTAGCTGGATAGAAGTTTTGTGCTGCCCTTTCAACCTTCCTGTATCTCCCCCAACCCCACACGTTCTGGATTGCTCTCTGCTGTGAGTCGGTAACTTTGCACTCCTCAACCCAGTTATGTTTTTTCACCAGCAATAGCAAATCAGATCAGTCCCTCCTGCCTTCAGTACAACCTCCTCACCTGCAGAAACAAAGCAAGGGTCATTGCTCCTGCTGCAAAGCCATTGGGATGCTCTTCCTTGACCTCCACGACTCTGGTTGGACTCCACTCATCCAGCTCCCAGTGCCCAGTGACCTTCAGTGCCCCTGGGGCCGCAGTGGTGAGTTACTCCAGTCCAGCACAATTCCTCTGGATATAACAGCACATCTTACTATTTACTACTCATTTCACAGCTTACTGTTCCCACATGCCATTGTGGGCTATCACCATCAGTTCTGTGGCTGGATGTACTTTTTATGACAAACTGTCCAAAACAAGAAGAGAAAAAGCGTTCAGACTTTTTGGTTACTTCAAGGCACGTTGAAAATTCAGAACGTAAAACAGAGCTGGACATTTATAATTAAGTGTGTAATGTAATTAACACCAGTGATTATAACCTGCCTTGGGGTTACAGTGTGCAGTGTTGGCTTGGCTAGCACCAAGGGAGTTAGCCTTTGGTGAGATTTAGACACCCAGCTCCCACTGGAATCACTAAAACCCCAGAAGCCTAACAGCTGAACCCCCTCCCTTCCCCAACTGATAAAATAATTATATAACTACAAAGCATTTCTTTTCTTTAAAGCCATCATGAGCTAATGTACACTAAAATTTTCCCTATATCTCCAAGGTAACTTAATAGTCATCCTGTTTCATACTGAGCAAAACCTCCAGGGAGCAGGTGCCCCAATTAACAGATTCTCAGCCTTTCATATCAGTGATTGCCAAAACACAAAAGAACAACATGTAATTCATGTGGGGATCATAGAGAATGTGACAGAATAGATAAAGCACAGTAGAAACTATATATTGCAGTAATTAGAATAACCCTTGTTACAAGACAGTGTGTCTAAAGGAAAGATTAGATTTTTTTTTTGTGCCATTAAATTCACATGTGCAAGCTGAGACCATTTAGCTACGTCATGTAAGAACCAGACAGCGCAGAAGAGCCCAGTCATGGTGCCTGGCAAGTTTTACCATTGTTGCTAATGCCCAAAACTGCATTAATCCATGTGAAAACAGCTTGCTCTTGGATCCTGCATGGAGAAATCAAAACAGAGATGGCTCTAGCGAGAAATCCTTTGAGCTGGGCAGAGCCCCTGTACCCTCAGCCCTGCCAAGGGCTCAGTGCAACTGCTCACCCTCACCCTGGCAGAGATGACTGCAGGGGTTTGACCTGTGTGTGCCCCCCAGGCCGTGTCCTCTCAGACCCATCAGACCACAGAGTGCCCCTTCTCGCTGTGCCAGTGACAGGGACAAAGCTGCAACAGAGGTACAGAAACAGAGGGCGCAGTTCCAAACCACCCTGGCAGTAGAAGATTGACCCTCCTGGGAAGCTCAGCCACCTCAGTGTGATGACTAAAGAGTCAGGGTGCAGAGGCACCTCGTGCCAGTACCTCAGGCAGGCACTGGCCAGAGATCTGAACCCTTCCCAGAGGAGGCATTGCCACCTCAGCCTCCAGACACAGGGCAGGAGTTTTGGAAGCCCTGTTGTCATGTGCCAGCTGAGCAGAGTCAGTCTCTGCCCCAGAATCCTGCCAGATATCACCCCTTGGATCAGCCCTGGTGTGCCTGTCGGGCCCCACATCCTGCTGTGCTGTTAGTCAGCAATGGTACAAGATGATCAGACACCCACCCACAGCAAATGGAACAACACTGTTATGTGAAGGGTTTTCTCTTTGGTTGGGTGTTTTCCCCCTTTTTCTCACTCTCTTAAGACAGTTCTCATCCTGTTTTCCATGCACTGACATCCAGCCATCACTCTTGCAGTGGTGCTCCAGCTTGGCACCTTTTAAAGACCCATCAGGGCTTGATCTCTTCTCAGCTCTGTAATGAACCTACTTTAATCGTGGTTGTCTGTCCTCACCCACACACCTGGTGAGCTGCAGCACTGTCTCACACTCCTAATTTCTGTTCCTTGGCACTGGCTACTTTGTTCTTTAGTAAATGAGCTCCGAGTACCTGCAGCCAATGCAAATGTGTGCTGCACTCAACTCTGTCTTTTGGGCTTGAGTGGAAGCAATCCAAGGCTTGTTTTCTTCAGGTCTTTCTTCAGTTCCAAAGTCCTCTTGTTACTGCAGCTCTTCTTTGCCTCTTATCCTGCTTAAGCTAAATAAGGGAGGGAGGCATTATGTGCATTTAAGTGCCATTATTTAGTGAAGGTATAACTCACTTATAACAGAGGTACGTGAGTGTAATAGATTTATTGTTCAAATCAGAGTAATAAAATCTGTATGTATATATATAAATATAAGCAGTTAAGGTGATGAGCTTCATTATTACACATACACAAAATAATAGGCTATTATTTTAATTGGTTATTAAACAGTGGATACTCATTAAAAGCTCAGTTCATTGGGAAAAAGAAAAAAACCTACAATGCAATTAAACTGTACTGCAGACTAATTAATATGGGAATTGGGGCAATTCTGGTACCTTTAAAGAGATGGAGGTGGGGACAGTCAGCAGCACAGACTTGTACCACTCATCTTCATTAGGTGAGCAGATGGATTTTTCTCCTGCTTCAGGGTTTTGATGAAGTTCTATTTTTTTGTTTTAGTTTCAAAGGGAATGGGGGTGGAGGAGGAAACTGGAGTCTTCACACAGTCTGGAAAAACACTCCTAAAAACAAACAAAAAAAGTGAATAGGTTCATACATAGGCCCCATAACAGTCATCCCTCACTTTGTTTCTGTACAGACCCACTGTTAGCACTCTGCATCTTTCCTTTAAACAAATAAATTTGAGATGCCCCAAGACTTAACAACAGAATTCTCAGCCTGCTTAGTTCCTCAGCCACGCAGCATCTTTTCCCTCTGGAAGATCCCTGTTAGTTTGTTCTCACCAAAGGCTGCTGTGTCATGAACCATCCTCACAAACTGTCCAATGTCTTGTGAGTCAGAAGACATTTCCTGGTTATAAACCAGACTTTCATGGAAAGTATTTTGCTTTCTTTCTCCTAACTGACATGAAAGAAGGATGCCAAATCTCTAAGGAAACACCACTGAAGAAACCTGCTAGACTCTTGCTTTTTGTTTGTATTTTTAAGCACTCAATCCAACAGATAACCTGCCTAGAAGTAGGATGTCTCAGGAGTCAAGATGGTGACAACAGCACAAACATCATGTAAACAGTTAAGTAACAGAGGGCTCTCTTGCAGAGATTTGCTAAGAATAGTTGTTTACATCCAAACCCAGGATGGGCTTCAGAGTAAAAGCCAACCTAAAGCTTGAGGGTGTTGGTGGTGTTTTGAGCCTTTTCCCTGGAAGTGTAGGTCTTATATCTTGGTGGGAACTCCACAAACCTGCCAACTCTGACTTCTGCCCTGTGGGGGTCAGTCTTTCATTACATAAACACAACCTTACTACTGCAACCAAAACTAAAGCACAGGTCTAAGAGGTTTTTAGCATCTGATGCTTGACTGATCTAAGGTTTTGGAAGTCCAATTGGCTGTTTCTATTGCTTTACACCTGCACACATTTACACAGCTGGTGCATTTACACCAAAGCACAGGACTGTGAATCAGCTCAGCTTCATTCACCAGTATTTCCCCCCCACTTTGTAGAACTGGAGTTGGCTCTGCAGGATGACACACACTGATCTGACATTGGATTGCTGTGCTCTGTAGCTGTGGTGTGATGCAGAACCCTTTTCACAGGTACTCATTCAAGAGGCGTGTCACTGGCCTTGCACAGTGGGCTTCTTTCGAGCTCTCCCTTGCATTTTATTGTTATTTCTTTGTTAATAAATAAATAAAATCCCTGTTGGTTTATGGCTGTAAGAGATAAAAGAATTCTTTTTTTCCATGTCAATGCTGTGCAGTGCTGACAGAGCCTGGCAAGAGCCACATCCTGGCTCAGACTTCTGTTCTGTTTTCCTTATTAGCATTTTGCTTGGCTGTCCCTGCCAAAGTCTCCTGGACATCTCTGAACTCTGTGAATTGTTGCAATGCCCAAGTGTGAAATGAACTGCATGGAAACTCCTGGGAACCTGTTACCAGTGTATTAACCATAACCTCAGGTTCACAGGAAACAACAGGCACCTGTTCAATGGGAAACATGTTCTTAAACTGACACTCAATTATCGCTGCATATTTTAGCATAATTTTTGCACCTTATCTAGGACCTGCCATGAGCCTCTTTATTAATTTTAAAGCAGTCTACACAAACCAAGACAAAACTGAGAATATGAAGGACTGGAGTACACAAATACCTCAGCATTTTAACAGAATCCCAGAAAACCTTCTGCTGAATGTTGCAATTATGGTTTAGTTGAATGTGAATGGAGATAATTTGTATAGGCCAGGTGCTTGATCTTGATAATTACCTCTAAGGTATCAGAATCATCTAAGAAAGATTTGCTTTAAAAAAAAAAAAAAAAAAACCAAAACAAACACAAAAAAAACCCACAAAAAGCAATACCTGAAAATAACAAAATTAGGCTGAACAAACAAAATGATAAATAGTGCACCAGAAACCTTTCTTTTAACCATGGAATACCTTAAACGTTTAATAATTATAGCCAATATTTTTAGACTGGGAAGTTAAGCTTACTGTCTAAAACAATTTAAAAAGTATTACATGTTTTCAACCATTTAAATAAATCTGTATTATCAATAACCTACTATAAAATTAAAAGGCATCTATATTCATTTAGTAGCCCAGGAATGAGGGTAGCCCTAAAAAACAAAACAACCCAGCTCTTATTCATATCTACAGTAAAGGGGCTCTGAAGGGACATCTTTTCAAACTGATATTTTCAGAGCTCATTTATATTTCCTGCAATTCCTCCAGACTGATCCAAACTATCTCTGAATAATGGTTAATGATTAATGTGCTATTAACCACGGTCTTACTCCTGAATATTTAACTGCTTTGACAGTAGGATGGTGTATTTGCATTTTATGTTAATACCAGACAAATTTAACTTCTCAATTGAATGTGGAAGCCTCAGAGTGACAGGTCTTTCCAGCCACAAACAGCTGTGCTTAATCTGAAATCCTTCATCCTTCGGGACTGGGACACAGAATTATTGCCAGGAATAAGCATTCCTAAGGATGGGGAGGGGACAGAGATAATTTGCCAAGACTGAGTGAATAATATTGAATCCTTGATAGCTGAATTACTGTCTCTTATTTGCTACATAGAAGAATCTGTGTCTAAAAATATTTTCTACTTTTAGAGATTGCAGAGGTAGGCACCCACACACCATATATTAATGTATATACACCATATATGTGTGCCTTCTTTCCAATTAAGCTTCTGAGAAACAAGCAGAAAAGCCAGATAATGGATCCAGGTAATTTGCAGGATCCAGGTAATAGGCAAGTTAAAATATAAATATATATTATTCTTTATCATGTCCCAAAATAATATTGAAAATAACATTTGGACTATTACTCAGGATGTTTTATCCTACTCCAGCAGAAAATTTTACCATTGTATTAGCAATGCAAAAGAGGCTGGAACTGCACTTAAATAAAATCTTTCTCCCATCACAGCCAGGAACAGTTCCATCACAGGAACAGTTTTTATCAGGGAGCTCTTATGGCTACCAATGTTTGGGATAGTCTGGAAGAGCTCCCTGCTGATGTCAGGCCTTAGGGATTGCATGGAGAGACACACAGAAACAGTTTTAGGGACACGATTTTCATCTTTTAAGAGATGTAAGGGACTGTATTCTGGAGTGCAATCATTCTCACAGCAACGTGTCATTTGGAACCTACAGGCTAAAAATATGCAATTTGATCTCTACAGTTACATTCATAAGGGACTTTTATTCTGTTGGGTACGGGAAAGATCTAGAAACACATATGAAGACTGCATAGTTCTCCTGATACACTCCTTTTTAATTTTTCTTCCTCTAAACTTAGATTTCCCTTCTCCCTCTGAAAGAGATGCTCTGGCAACTCTCCCCTGCTTTCTTGTTAGCATTTCAGATCCATGTTCAGTCCTGAACCTGCATTCAGGCAAGTCACACTGACACCAACATCAGATTTTTAAAGAGAAAAATGTGTCCATTTTACTGCTAATTACCATTAGCTGCCATTGTTTCCTGTGTTAAATAACTTGTATTATCATCCCTGCATGCTTGATCTCTTACCTCCATTACTCATCCTCTGGTAACTCCTATCTCCACCTCATTTCTGGGTTATGTCTTTGATGGACCAAGTGATTATTTTTCAGCCAATGATCCAATTTACGAATAAAGTAAAATATCCCTCAAATCACTCACATTTGCCTTCATTTCAAGTAGCTTAATCTGTCACTTCTGAATGGTGTTTTCTAATGGAGCATCTCATTTTCTCCTTTTCTCTCCTTTCTTTGCAGTCACACCAGTTGTAACCTAACGATGAACGAGATAAATTGATTAAATGGATGAGTTCTGCATGAAACAGTTCCAACTGGAAAAACATTTAATGGTGGTTAAATATTCTACAGTTGTATACAGCACCTGAAAAATGAGCATGACTAATACAGCAGTCAGAGCCCTTTGAAAATGCCTTTCTGGGCAGAATTGGGCAGGTTTACTGACATATATTTTGTCATGCCAGCTCTAATTAAGCCTGTCTAATTACTTCTCTTACAAGGGTTTCAGGCTGAGCACATAAATTCTTGGGGACATTATCTGCTGTAGGTGTATAAATGTCCTGCAGAATAATAGGGAGGAGAGGTCTGGAGGGAAAGTTAACACTTTTCATTAGACTACGTGACATAACTGGGAGAACAGACAAGATTTTGGACACAGAGGATTTCTGCTGAACATCAAGAAAGAGTGATTTCACTGTATGTCCAAAACAAAGTCCATTTTTTTCCTTATCTCTCTCAGCTGGTCAGATAAAAGTATTAAAGACCTTTCCTGCCTCATACCCTTCTAACTCTGAAACCATTGACACATATAAAACATATCTAGTGGAGAAAAGCAGCTCTCAGATGAACAGACTTCTCTTTTGTTGGGTCTGGTTGCAGCAAACCAAAAAGGAAATAAAGGAAATGAAATGGCTTCTGCTCACATGTCATCTCACCCTGGGAAACCTTTTCTGCAGAGTGGAACAGCTCCAGCCAGCAATGGCACGCCCAAAATTGCCATAAATTGGTGATGAGGGCACACTGCTGTGGGATGCCAGATATTGGGTGTTAGGGGCTTATAAAGGCCCGGGGAAAGAAAGAAATGCAGCGTTTATTTTCTCACTTTGAAGGACCCTCTCCTGCATCCACTGGGTGTCTTATGCTCTTTGATCTATAGGTAGGTATGAGGACACCTGCAATTCCGCTCTTGCTCAGCCTGGCCATAAAAAAAGGTTTAAAAACCCACCAAAACTGAGCTGAACAAACAAAAAACAGCCCAAACCAAGAACTGAGAGTGCTTGAGGTGAAAGAGGTGGCGACTGTAGACCAGCAGTTGAGAAGCATCTGTCCTTATTGCCCTGAAAATATGGCATCACTTTCCATGAATCTGCACAAGATCATGGAGAATTGTCCTCTCTGAACTCTGCTCTTAAGTGCAAGTGGTATTGAGTTTGAGCTATGAACTATCAAGAAGCAGGTTATTATTTTCACTTGCTGTCGCTCGAGGAAATGGTGCCACCACAGTTCCCTGTGCATCTCACCAAGTCTAGAATTTTGATTTGCATTTATTTGATCAAGTGAAGAGGTCAACGAGGGTTAAGAGTGCAGTACTTAATGTAAGAAATACGGGGAGGAGGAAACAGGGCCCAGAAATTAATTCCACTTTGCAAATTCATGCGCTAATTTAAATTGGGGGAAAAAAAGCCATAAACTTATTCTCCAGGGTTCAATTGGGAACAAGGTTGGGCTGCAGGTAGAATTTAATTACCACATGGCTTTAAATGGTTATTGCTTGAAAAGGCTGGTGCCAGAATCACAGTTAGTTCCTACTTTATACAAAAAAAAAAACCTGACATCATGTCCCAAAAATACCTCAAGAGCACAAAACTCCCTCACTAAAATCCTCACACAAAGGCTTACACTACTGTCTGTAAAGTGCACACATTTAGTAGCAAAAGGTTTTTATTGTACACAGTTACCATATTTTAGTCTGTGTCATTACTTGAATGTTGCCATTGTAGCTGTTTTACCGTGGCCTTGGCTCTTCTAATTTAAATACCTCTGTTAGAATTTAATTTGTCAGGGAAAAAAAAAAAACAACGAGAATATTTGCAAAATACACGATGTTCTGATCAAACCAATAAGAAAGCCAGAGCCTTCCAAGTTTAATCATATTCAGCATTTTTGTGCTTTTGTTTTAAGTGTAGAAACATAATGAAATAATTCCATACTATAAAGCTCGATGAAAGGGGCAATTAAAAAGGAATCGATCTGATACATCCTGTTCCTCACATTACCATGCTCTGGAAAGTGTAAATCACTCTCTCCATTGCTAAAGCTTTTGTTTCCCATCTTGATTAGGCAAATATTGAAAACAATAATCATTTTTCACCAAAGTGAGCCTTTAATATGGAGTAGAAAGGGAGCACTATGGATATTACATTTTCCACAGAAGACTGGCTTTCACATTAGTGTTTGCTATTAGCACATTTCATGTCACTCCATCATAGTGTCTTTCACTCAAATCCTACATTTGTTGGAGCAGATGGAAAGTTAGTTTAAATTAATTGAAAGCATGCTGTGCACAGCTTGTGGCACCAAGAACACACAAAGAAGAAAGGAAGATACATCAATTTCCTTTCTAACATACCTATAACTGGGAGATCTCTTAAGAAATCATCAAGATATTATGCTGCTTTTTTCTCTCTCTCTCTCTTTTTTTAAAGAAAGCTATATTGCTTTGATTTTTACAAGAGGAGGATGCAGTGGAATTGGGTGGATATTCATCATTTGAAAAATAAATTCTGCCTGGGATGGTTCCTAATACAATGACTCAGAGAAAGTTGGTTTGTTTCTGTAGCCTATTCTTAGAAATACTGATAAAAGTTTGAAGGTTAATTACCTCTTCACTTACTTTAGTTAACACCACCTTCCTGTATTTGGATCCTCAGCTTTTCTTCTGTCTTCACTGAAAATCCAGTGGCCTCCTCTGTTCTCTGAGCCAACAGGCAAAGATGTTATTAATTCCAGAATCACCTAAATGACTGAAAATCAGATGGACAAACTCATCTGCTTCTTTACAGTGATCAGTACTGGGCCATTCTTCAGTATGTTCACAATTAAAACCAGCTTCAAAACTGCCACAGAATAGATCATGTCATGAACAGAGACTCTTTGACCAAGCAAGAATGGAAAGTGTTATCAAATGATTAATTTGATCCTTTAAAAAAAAATAAGTATTCCAAGTATTTGTATATAGTGGTGTGGAATTGAGGGTGGGAGGGAGCAGTTGGGAAGGGAAATGCTGGATCTGGATCTGTTTGGTTGGTGTGCTCTGCTGTGCTGAAGGGCTGAGCAGGCAGGAGGAAGGTTTGTGTTCACATCCGTGTGGCCCAGGCCGAGGTGAGACCCTCTGGCACGAACAGGAGTTGTTACATCTTGTAAAGCAACCGAAAGTGCAGAAATCAATGAGGAAAAGCAGGTCCTGGGTTACAAGGTGGGAAAAACAGGCAGAAAACAATCAGCCTGCAGCAGAAGGCTGGTGGGTTTGCTGGGGAGCAGATGCAGAGTCAAGCTTTAGAAGTGAGGGAAAGGGAACAGTTCCCCAGAGGGACTGAGAGCTGGAACTCGCTGCAAACAAGGAACACACTGAAACTCGCTGGACTGAGAAAGACCTCAAGGGTCCTGCATGACAATGGGGAGAGCTCTGCCATTTTGATCTGTCTTGCTGAGTTTCCTCTGTTTCAAATGTTGCTCTGTTCCAGTTTGCATTCAGATAAAAGCTGACTTTTGGGTTTTAGAACCCTCTCGCTCACCTTGGTGTCTCTTTCTCACACAGTTCATCTCTTTGGTGTCTCAACCCTAGGCACACTTTGCTTTTCTTCTCCAAAAAGGTCAAAAGGTAAGAAGAAGGTGGGAAAACATTTTTTTCAATTTGCTCTTTCAGTCTTTCGGTCTTGAACTACTCCAAGGCTGACGGGGAACAAAACTAAACCAATACGTTTTGGTTTTAGAAAAGTAAAAAGTTTTGCTGTAAAAACTCAAAGCAACTGAATACAACCCACATTTTTTTCCCAAATGAATAAGGTTATTTTATACCGAGGCATTTGTGCCCTCTCCATTCTGACTGTGAGTATTGAACCTGTACTGCTGGGGCCTTTTTTCTGCCAGTCACTGAACGCATTTTACCATCTCTACTCCTTGCAAATCAAACCCAACTCCAGCAACTGCAAATGAAAGAGATAAAATAATGCAAACCTTTCCCAATCCTACCTGTCTGGCTTCAACTTCCTTCTTTCCAGAGAGCCTTCAGACACTGCAGCTGACCCTGTCTTCCTTTTTTCATGACCTGCTGACATCACTTATCCCCCAAGTTTACTTCTTTTATTAGATAGCCTCAAAATTCAATTATACTCTTCTAAGACTTTACAAAATTTTTGCAGCATTTATTTTTTCTTCCACATCTATCTTGATATCTCCTTGCTTTTCCCAACACTTTTTATTTAAATTCTTTCCTTATCATTTTTAGGCACTCTCAATTTTATCCTTTAAACCACGGTGCCTGCAGAATTTTCACTTTTTTTCTACATTGTGCAGGTTCTTTATGGGCACCCGAGCCAGCATTTTCCTCTGTTCTTAAAAAACTTTGTCCCAGCCTGTATCACAAGTCTTTCCTGCTTAATTCAGGGCAAAATTATGCTCCTTCCTGCCTGCCAAACTCCTTGACTCATAAGCAAAATGCAGCAGCAGAATGCAAGGGAAAATTTGGCTCTGAGTTCATAACTTCCCTTGAGCACATGACAGGTGTGTTAGTTCATATTAACAGAGCTCTTTGGAAATTCAGAGGGTTGTACAGGTAATCACTGTTTGATTAATAATTTACAACACCAACAGGACAGAAATGAAAACCAGAGAATGACAATCTCAAAGCAGCTGTGTGCCTGTCAAATATGGTAATTTTTTCCCCTTCTTCCTCTGTTTGGGCACTGCTTAACCCCATGCTGAGTTGCCTTTCTAGAACACAACCCTTACAACACTGGTGAATAATTAGATAGTCAGAAAGAAACAGGGAATGGGCGAGAACTAACTTCCCACCTCCCAGGGTCACTTGAAGATTAATTTACCTAAAAACTAATTAGGACATACCACAAGCACAGAACCCTGAAAGAAATGAAGAAGAAAGGGAAAAGAAAAAAAAAACAAACAGTTAAACCAGAACCTTCCATCTCTGAATCTACAGACAAGCAATCTTAGTTCTTCTGGGAAAAGCTACCAGATTAAATCCCCAAAGTCTATTTTTACTAAGGAGTAAATGAAACCATGATGCAGCTGGAATGAAATCCTTCAGCCCTTTCACTGACACCTGCAAGAAAAGTAAATGTTATTACATGAAACTCCTTTCTGAAGATAAAAGTCCAATCTAGTTTTAAGATTAGAGGGTTTAGATGGCTGTGGGCACGTGGAGCCCTTTCACTGAGTTTGCCACTTTGTGCCAGTTTAATAGCAGCCAAGCCATTAGTTAGTGGGGGTTATTAAGGAGAATAAGTGAAGTCAGCAGCTGTATCACAGAGCCAATGACATAATTAACACCTTGGTTTGGAGGTGATTCTTTCCCCATCAGGAGGAGAAAATTAGGCAATAGGGAGATTCCCTGCATGGAAGGATTTATTCCTACGGCTGTGAACCTGTGCTGGGCACAAAGGCCAGATTTGCTGAAAGTTGAAAAGAAAAGAGGATGAGTAGAATTCAAAATACTAATTAGGGCAGTAAGAGTTTTATGGCTGGCTGAGTTTTTAATAGATATTGGAGGGTAAGCCAAGACTAACAATCTGAGATAGACTCTGGCTAAGTGAAGGTGAACGATCGTGACGTTTCTCAGACCTCACCCAGGATGCTCAGTGGGGAGCAGAAGATTAAGGAACTGATTTCTACTGCAGGAGCCACTTCTAGAAAGAAGCAAAAACACAGGGATATACAAAAAGCCAACATTTCAGTGAACTCTTCCACATCAGCATAATAAAGTTATACCAAAGATTGTAAAGCAGGCCAATAAACTGTGTAAAAATATTATGCTGATGTTGAGTATTAATTGGGAATTTTTTAATATTTTTTTTTAGACAGAAGAAAAGTAAAGTACATTTTCCTACTAAAGTTTTTGAGTAAGTTCATCTTGTCAGTTTTTTACATAAGAAAACCCCTGTAATATCACTCCAGTATGGAGACAAATAATGAATTTCAACTATCACAAAAAGAGAAATACAGTCTTTCCTTTAGAAGTTAAAGAAGACAGGGAATCTAGAGATTCCCTATGCACAGTGTTTCTCTTATGGTTTTAAATTTTTTTCTCCTAATTTCTCTGTGTTTAAACAGCAGTCAGTTCCTGTTCTCTCTTCCCTTAGCAAAAGTACCTTTTTTTACCTGCTGTGCTTTCCCCCCACTTAATTACTTCTACATGGTAACTGAATTTGTTGAGTGTCATCTTTACGTGCTATTTACCACCTTTATTTCTCTCCAGTTCTTAAAAATCATTTTAGGGCCTTTTTTTTTTGTCGTCTCTAAACTTACCATAAATCTAAAGAAACAGTAAAGACACCGGAACTAAAACATGGGTTTTGATAATAATCTCAGCAGTGCCGAATTCCAGAGAGAATCCAGTTCCATCCAAGGCAGAATTCCCCACTTTTAATTTTACAGCTAAAATATACAGCTCTGGAAAGATGACTTTATTTTGGTTGAATGCAGCCAAGCCTCCAAATTCAACCAAATTGAGAGTGTGTGACCAGAGCAAAAGAGAGGATGGGGAAGAGAGAATGTGTGAGAGGACAAGCTCGGGATGGGCACTTTACATGTTTGCCATTGATTTTATTTGCCTCTGGAGCTATTAGGGGAACATATAATGTGTTTAGTTGCCTTTTGGTGAGATATCAACAGCTGGAAACACAGGGAGTGAAAAACCATCTACAGCCAGTTGGCACTTGGTAGTTCCAGTGGTCCATGGAGGGAAATTTTGGAAGCTCTGTTCTATAACTCTCTATTGCTGTTATCTATTAACTCCACAGCCATCTGAGGGCTTTTCAGCAGAGAAGAAGCTACTGATGCAATTCAGCATTAACTGTAGCAACTATAGTAAGGTGAATGAGCAAATTTTATAAATGCTGCTACCTTATCCAGAGAGATCAGAGGTTTCAAGTCCTGTCAAATTTTGTGGTTGCCAGGGTAACAGGTTTGCAATTCTAATGGTCCCTGAGAGCCTGGGAGGTTGTACAATACACAATCATCTTCCACTACCTCCCTAAACCATGTAGTTCTGGACACACATAACTGGTTTCAAATATGGCAAGAATTTTCATGTCAAATGTCCCTGAGTAAAGTTAAGAACAAATGTTCAATTAAACTGCGTTTAGTCCTTCTCTTTTGATACCAGCCCTGCACAAATGATTTGCCCTTCTGTTTATTGGAAAAATGCCAGAAGTTATAATATGAATCCCCTGCATGTGTGGGGCTCAAGCTTTGCCTGCACATTATGGAACTGACTCTATCCCATCTCCATGAAATGCAGCACGAACATCTAAGGGTAGGTGCAATTAGCAATTTTAAATTGGCTTTCTTAAAAAAGAAGAGAGCAACATAAAAGAGGAAAGACATCTGTGAAACTGCCACGAGTGAAACACAAGCGAGACTACAAAATCATGAAAAATATATTTACCTACTCCTTTGAGGGCAGTTACCTTCCTGTTTTTCCTCAGATAAAAATGGCACCAATTTGCTATCCATGAGGTTGTTACAATTGAACAAGCTTGAAAAATCGTGAGCAGAGAGAAACTTCTCCCTTTTCACAGATAAAATTTTTTCCCTCTCTCTTTCTCTTGTTCTCTTTTATTTTCTTATTATTTTTTTTTTACTCCTAAAGAAATTCAGAGAATCTAAAACACTTCCAGAAAATGGAATTCTGGAATGGGAATGTGCTACCTGGTCCAGTGGCAGCCGGATCAGCCTGTACCTGAGCATTAATGTCCAGTCACAGCTGTCACTTGCCAGGACACCACAGCTTCAGGTGACCACACCATCACTGGTGGTAAAATGGCAACATGAAAAGATAAATAAAGGACTTGCCATAACAAAATGAACGTTACAAACTGCTCCTACGTCTAATTGAATTTCTGGGAGCACAAAACACTTCTGAGGACTCGAACAAATATTCTCCAGGCATTTTCTCTCTTTGAGCCTCTTATACTTCCTGTAAACAAGTAGCTGAGGGTTACAAAGTTCATCATAAACAAAGGGTATTATTTTGAAAAAAAAGTCACCTCTTGCCCATTTGTGTTTTGTTTCTGTCATCTCTAAAAAGAACAAATAATAAACAGGGAATGGCTCCCAGAGCAATGGGCACTTCAGATTGTTGGTGTAAATTAAATTTCATCTTCAAGCAGAAAAGTAAAGGGTATAAAATATGAAAAGCTATGAATCACCTTTAGCCATTTGGAGTGAAAAAGTAACAACAGGTGATTGAGCAGCCACTCAAAATAGCCTGGAACTGTAACAGCTCACTCACAAATGACCTGCAAATCAAAACTTACCAGTAAAGAATTACAGCTAATATTTTGAGTATTTAAAGTATATAACCAGGCTAAAATCTGTCTCCAGATCTGCCACCTGTAACTTATGTATTCAACATCATTCTAGTTTCATTATTAAATAGTTCCTTCTTTCTTTAAAGAAAAAAAAAAAGTCTCAAACAAGTCACGTGCAGAGGGAGGGAGAGGGGAAGTAAAGTTATTTAATACATTATTCACTAGAAATTACTCTAACAGCTTTATATTCAGCCTCGTGGTATCATTGCTTGAGGCAGAGATAACCTTCACCAAGTGTTTCCAAATTAGGTGTCACATAATACCCTGGCTGATATTGTCAATCCAGCCCTGTACAGCACATGCAAATGGGGACGGTGCCGTGCTCCACGAGGCACTGTGTAAAAATCCAACAGAAGGAAACAAGGCTGGAGCACTTATCTTGCAGGAACAGAGACGAATCTTTGGGGGAATTAGCTCAGGCCGTTGCTGTCAGGCTGCTCTGCTGCCGAGTTACATCCGTAACAATAATTCATTTTTTAATGGCTGGAGACCTGCAGCTGTAATTCCACACTAAAGTCTATCCTAAAATTTATTGAGGAAGTTTCAGTGTGTTGGGGCTATATTTCTAGATGGGATCTAATCTTCATTAACTCTCAGGAGGTAGAGCTGCAGGAGACCATTTGTGCCCAGCTCTGGGAGCACTGAGAACTCACCCCACTGAACACTTTCCTTGGCTGGGGTCCTGATCCTGCCACGGGGGTTGGTGTGGGACCAGACAACTGAGGAGGGACCTCAGATGCTCAGTGGATATACTCAGGCCTTTCAGGGAAAAGCTCTATCCCATTCCTATCAGAAGACAGCTCATGGTTACAAACAAACCCTTGGGAAAAAAATTAAATACACACACACACATACATATATATACATATATGCTCTCTTTACTGAGATCTTCAGAAAAGCCTCATAAACCTGAACTACTTATGGGTGACACTGTGCAAGTTTATTAAAATAAGATGGCACATATTCTTAGTAGCAGGAGACATTAAAGAAGGACTTGGGAAGGTCCTTGTTGTTGTTGTATTCAAAAATTTGTTACGAGAAAAAAAAGGGAAATCACCTCATACCAGGATGTGAGAATGGAAGGATTTATTGCTGCTCCAATTAAAATCAAGCAAAAGATGTTACTCGCCCAGTTAAAATGTCACCTGCACAGCAACACAAACTGTTTGATTAAAAGAGGTGGGGGAAAGAATTAGTAATGCAGTTACAAATGTAATATATGGGATATGCCACCTGTTATGTGTCCCTGTTATTTGGGGGTTGTCCCTGCTCAGGGGTCACCACCCATGCCTTCCTGGTGCTGCCATGCCTCAGGAAGAATTTGGAGTCAAGAAAATTCCTGTCACAACAGTCTCTGACTGACAAAACCAAACTGCACCTCCAAACAGCCTCACCCACCTAATTTTACATATAATCTCTTACTCTCAGCATGCTGACCACAAAACAGTCCTTCCAGTTTTAATAATGGCATTTTGACATCCTTACCTGAGACAGGGGAAGCAGATGGAGTTAATGGTGGGCATCAGGCTACAGGTTCAGGGTGAATAAAACGAGGTGTTTCCTAGAAGAGATTAATGAGATAAAAAGCATCTTAATTTGGAAATGCAGAAAACAGGAGTGGCTAAAATTCTAGCCAGACCACTGCAAGCAGTTGGGTCTCCACTTCCAAAATTCTGTGAGGCCATGAAAAAAAGACAAACCAATTGTGTCTGGAGGGACCAAGATGACTATTTACTGATTTTTACATTTGGCCACATAACTCTCCACACGTGCCATCATCCCCTGCAATTACACATTTTACACGTGTTGATGTGTGCATTAGTCTGTTTTGCTTGATTGAAAGATGGGTGATCACAGGCACTTCTTCATTTAAAACAAAACAAGCAAACAAACCCCACTAAATTTCAGTGCCCTGTAATCAAGAGTAGCTCAATGTCTCACGTTTGGGAGGATTATCAGGCAGATAATGCTTTCCCAAAGGCTTGGGTTTTTCAGAATAGCACTCTGGGGTAAACAAAAGCTCCTCCAAAGGGTTACCTCCTGCTTCTGCCAGGCTGAACCCAGAGTTCATCACAGCTCACTGAATAACCTTGTTGGGTGCTGCACTAACAGCAATTTGGATAATCCACACCAATAAAGTCACACGTGGAAAATTCTGCCCCCCTCATGTTTCTTTTTATTTCATCACTGTGCACAATGCTGATGGGAAAACACCCTCATTCCATTATTAAGCATTTATGCACATTTACAGGTGCAGGTGTTTTAAAAGATATCAGATTTGGTGATTTCTGTGCTTATTTTCTAGAAAACTTCAAGGCAAAATTCTGTGTCCCCACCTCTCTGGCTTTGAAACTGGACATGCCCAGCAAAAAACCCACCTGCTTCAAAGCCTTGCTTGGTGCCTCAGTACCAGTGGCAGCAGACCCGTGCTCCCATTTCTGCAGAACTTGCTGTCAGTGGGTTCCAAAGCTGGAGAACTGATGTCTTCATTTTATTCATCTACTGTTGCGAGACAGATACTGCTTTTGCTCCTCTTAATGTGTTATGATGCAACTGTTAATTACATTTTAAAACCTAGCCATGTTTCTTTGAATCCTCTTGCAGAGGCAGTATTTTCTGTATGTTTATTCCAATTTCTTTATGGGATAGTGGTTATGCATGACTGATTAATAGGCCCCAAGCTATACTCAACCTGTTACCCACAGTAAATTGTTCTTTCCGTTGTCTCTGTCATTTTCTTTAAAATATCAAGCTGTTTTATAATTAAAGAGTCCCTTGAAGGTCTTGTTTCAATAAACAATCATTCCTTCCACTGTGTGAAGTTCCTGTGCTAATAAACAATTTAACGGCATATATTATTTTTCCTGTCTCCACAACCAACCTTTTATGGAAGACCCACTGGGGCAAAACCCAAAATGTGATGCCAACTACACGTACAGATTCAAAACTTCAGCATGTGTTGTGCAGCTCAGGCCTAGACCTGCTCTTAATCTGCATATTGTGTGAGTTATAGAAGATTAATTGCTCACAGTAGTGTTTGGACGCTTTCATATGTCACCCAGAAGATGGCTGAAGAGTTACTTATCTCCAGCAGCTTTATCCTTAATTACCTTTCTCACTGATAATTCCAAATTTGGGATTCAATGCACAGCGAAAATCTCCTGTATTAATTAGAGATTGTAACTTTGTTATACAATGTGTTTTCTATGATAAACGGCTTTTCCTCGAATACTGAATATTTTTGTGGAAATGGCAAAGTCTTTAAAAGTTTTGCAATGCTGCCAAAAACTTTCCCCAGATTTTTAACATTACAAAATATAGCACTGGGGCTTATGCATGAGTGTACATAATTTTTTCAGTCACTCATAGCATTGAATATAATTGCATTGTTCTGGGGGGGGGAAAGGATAATTACTATGGACTTTTTAATTTTTAATGCAATTTAATATAAGTGTTTCCCTACAGTGATAAATCATTACAAAAATCTGTACAAAATCAGGAAATCAGATCAATTTGAGGTCCTACCAAAGCATCTATGAGTTAGGTTTTTAATCACTGTTTTAATGAGCTACACTTTGGCAGCAAGCTTAAATTTCTAAATATTTGATCATGACGGCTCTTTGATTTGGGTGCATTTGAATACCAGGATGTCTTGTTTTTCTTTTCAGACTCTATTTTCCGTACAATTTCAGACAGATTCTTTGGCTGATATAGGATGTCATCGTTCTTCTGAAACACTGAAGATACAGCAATTTGTGTTAGATATGAACTTGCCCTAAAGACATCAGTTTTTTTTCACATTTAAGAGCATTCTCTAAGAAAAATAGATTAGATACTACAATCCCCACATTGGTATTTTTTCAAATTACTTTGGATACTTACCTGCCTTCACCTATAAATGTTACACAGTCCCTGTTTCCTATTGGTAAGTGTTCTCTGTTGATGTAATCCTGTATTATAAAATTTTGCACTTGCTCCATTTTCACTCTCCTCTATTACATTAAGTAACCTACAAATCTGTGGCTCACTTCAACACAAATAAACATGTGACAAATTGCTGAGTTCCTTGGGTACCCTTTCCAGATGCAGCAAAGAAAAACCACAGCACTGTGCTCACATTACTCAGAGTTAAAAAATATCCTTCAAAAACAACACATGAACGCTCCATAACCTGCAAAATTATTTTGCTCATTTCATTCTCTTCTGCTTTCATAACTCTGATTTTTTTTTTTTTTCAGTGGCTGTTGGCTTTTCATTTGTCCAGCAGCCTTCAGTTTGGTGTAGTTAGACGGGAGTGTGCTGTTTTTAAACTGTTGATTCCACTTCAGAGCTGCCTTGTGGCAATCCCGGCGGAGCATCCTCATTCCTCATATCGAGATTCACCACTTCAGAGGATCCTGCCGCCCCCAGTTCAAGCCCTAACAAAGTAAAAATGTTCTCACGAACAGCCTGAAGGCTTTTTGCAATGTCTTTGAGATGGGAATTAAGAGGGTGATGAGAATTACTTGCCCAAAGCCCCAGGATAACTGTTGCCTGGTGACACAGGTACTGCACAGTGTAAAAGGACAGACCATCTCTTGTTACTGACAAATCCTCCCCCTGCTCCAGATTTTGGTTATTTTTTTTCTCCCCTCATTTCAACCTCATTACACAGACATGCCAATAAATTTGCACCTGATTTCCTTAGAAGCTTACCCACTCACTTTTCTGGCTTTTTTTGTTGTAGCTTCCTTTATGTTGATAACAGAGCAGCTTTTTCATAAATTCCCCAGTCTATAGGCAGCATCTGAAAGCATATGCAATACTTTAATATACCCATCTCTGATCATCTGGCATGTATTTTATCAGCTGCTGAACATAACCAATAGGATAATGGAGTTTTGTTTCTTCCCTCCCAGGAGCTACAAAATGATATTCTTCCTCTCAGTGCCTTCAATGACACCCGGTTTTCACTTTATTTCTGTGCAACGGGAAAGTTTCATCTTTTTTTTTTTTTTTTAATCAGATCACATTAGAATTTTCATCCATTTTCTATCTCCACCCAGAAGGCACTATAGCAATTCCCCCCTAGGGTAAGAGTTGCTCCAGCTACATGAAAATCTTTGGCACTACCCCATTGTTCAATACCGGACCTCAGTCCTCCAGGTATTTTTCTCTTTATGATCATAATCTTATCATTCATATCTATGTCTATGGTGTGAGATGGTGTCATTAGTCCTTTATGTTCTCATTTTTGGTTTTCAGGATGGTTCCCTGCCTTGTTTTTCACCAGAGGGACTTGGCAGAATTGGACACCCAAAGCAGGGCACTCAGGACAGGGCAGGGATCACCTGCTGTGCTGGCAATGGTCAAGGGAGGCAGAGCTCTGCTGTTAAAGGAGGTGTGACACAGGTACAGAGATGCAGGTAGCTCAGGAAGTTTCAGTGGAAAACAATTGCTCTTTCTGGGACCCAAAAGCAGAAGGAACCCAAAGCAAACCTTGGCAGAGAGTCCCCAGCACTGGAGAAGGGGCACTCCTGCCCAGACTAGATACGCTCAGATTCAACCCACAGCCCCTCCAGCCTCTCCCTTCTGTCTGGCCAGGTGACACCCTTCCACCTTGGCTTTTTCTACTTTCCAGTCCTGTTCTAACAAGACAGGAACAGCCCTTGTCACAAAGTGCAGCACAAATCCCCTGTGGGAGGCTCCTGTCTGAGGCTCCATTGCTGTGCTGGGTGACCTGCACTCAACTCGGCCTGGTGCCTTCCTCCATCCACCAAATAACTTACTGCTAAACACAGGGGCTTTTGGCATGACATCTTTCCTTCCCACGTTCATCTCAGATTAGCCAACTCTCCTAAAAATGCACCATAACTGCTCCTGATCTTTCAGTGGGGTTCATCCCTGCCAGCCACAAAAGGGCACGTCCTTAGCATGAGAAAAAGGTCTCTGCAAATAAGCCAGAAGCATCCTGCAAACCCAGGAACAGAGTTCAGGCAAGGCAGGTCTCCAAAGCTGTTTGGCCATCTCTTGTTAGAAGATATTTGAGGCCTATTTAAAAAGAAAATCTGTGAGGATGCCCTTAGATGGTCCCTAATTGGGCTTACAGTAAAGTCATATGTGATGTCATTAAGTGGAAATACTTGGCATAACTAAATTAACCCCTTTGCATGCAAACAAAAATCAATAGAAGTCCATAGATGAGAGAAAAAGTGGATATTTTTAAATATTACTGTCTTCTTTCAAATTCCTTCTGAAGATTACCCCGTTCTATTTTAATAGGGATTTTTGAAGAGGTACAGCCTATTCCATGTAAATCATAGTGAACAAGTGCCCTTCCACTGATAAATGCAGTGTACTGGAACTGAAAAAAAAGAGTGTAGCAAAGGTCTTAGAATTCTTACAACTACTAAAAGAAAAAAAGGCTACCATGTTTTAGAAGAATGGATCCATCTGCTGCACCTACATGAAACATCAACTATTTACTTCACCTTGTCTAGAAAACGGGTCACTAAAGAAAACAATAAAAATCAAAACAAAGCGTAAAAACAAAACAGAAAACCCCTAGAGTATATTTGGATTACAAATACAACAGTTATAGAACAGTTGTCTTCCTCTGAAGCACAGAGAGCCAAATGACTCATCACAGAGGGTTATATCCCATCAGAGATGAGGATTTTAACCCCAGCTTTGGTCTGTGCTGAGTGCATTGGCACAGATCTTCCAACCAGAGTGTCAGAGGAGATTTGGAATAACATTCTGCCAAAGAAGGGCTGGACCAGCTGTCTAGTGCTAAGCTCTAAAGAATTTTTGTTTCAGGGCCCAAATGACAATTTAGGACCACAGGGATCCCCTCTGCAGTCACAGCCATGAGCTACAGCCAGGACCTCAAGTAAAACCTATTTCTCCCTAGCTTGGAGTTTTAGAACTGTCATAAGCAGCTATCAATTTTTCTGAGTGAGCATGCATATATACATATTTATTTGTTTATAAAATACACATATATACAGGCATATGCACCATACCTTGATCGGTTGGCAGAAGGAAATCCCAATAGCAGTATTTTTTAGTGACTTGGTGCAGTAAAACATCCTTTTTCTGTTTAAGACCAAAAAAAGGAGGGAGAAATATCAAGACCTTAAGCTAAAAATGACCTAAAAACATATCAGTGATTTAAATCGAGAGATCCACTTCTTGTTATTCTTTGACACTTTAGGTCTTTTTTTTTCTTTCCTTCTCACCCCTCCCTCTTACTTTTCACCTTTGTTCTCAGTTTCTTTGTTCTCTTTAATTATAATCCTTCTAAGCCTGGACATGTCTCTCTATTCTGCTCCAATCATTCCCTGAATACTAACTAGGAAAAGAGAGTGAGCAGTTTCTTCTCTATGCTCTCAAACGTTAATATCAGAGAAGTGCTGAATCAAACACCAGTCATGCCACAGCAGTACCTCTGAGCCAAAATGGGATGATTAACTCAGCTCCCATAAGCAGGCTTGCTTTCAAAGCAGAGGGGAGGTCCTGGAAGAATGAAAAGGGCAAATATCATCCCTAATCTCACAAGGAGGTGGAAAGGAAGACACAGACAACTGGAGATGAGCTAATTTAACTTCAGTGCCCAGAAAAACGCTGGAACAAAATACTAGAGAATTAATTTGTCAGTGCCTGGGGAGTAAATAACTGACAAGAAATGGTGATAATTTTCAAGGATCTATCATGTCAAAATTGTCTGGTTTCCATCTCTGGCAAGGAACTTTGCCTGATGGATAAAGAAGGAGATACCACACATTTTAAATTCACTAAGACTTCTGGTTAATGATTCCTATTCAGCAGCATAGATCCTTGAAGCTGTTGTTGAAGGATTTATGCTGCAGATGCTGCTGATGTGCACCTGGATATGCCACTGTCTGGTGAGCAGGTGCCATCTTCAC